GGGGTTCAATTCAAGTGCATACGTCCGAATTTCCCGAATTTATTCACACCTCTAAACTTTATAGCGACATCTCGAAGCTGCACCGTCTTTGCAACGATAAGTTCGACGCAGCCGCGCAGCACAGAGGGAGATGCCAAGGACGAATTGACAAAAATGGCCTGTTCAAGCAAAGTAATCGAAATTGACAGGCCGGATTGAGTCGGAATCAGACGTTGGATTTTGGGGCGGTTTTGCGTCGGCGCCATCCACGCGGGAGAGACTTTGATTGTTGAGTATGTAATCAAATTTGAGAGTTATGTGTTTGGAATTTACTATGTTCAGGGATCGAATTACTGAAGAATAGGCAGAAATACTGAGTGAACTAAGGATCAGAAGTTGCGATTGGCGTTGGGGGTCGGTCTGGTCTGACGGGCTCCGGTGTCGCTGATGATTTCATGCAATCATGGGTGGGGGTTGGCTGCATGTCGATCATGGTCCGCGTTCCCTTTTGCAGCATAGCGTGCGGTGGCCGGCATGAAGGATCACCTTCATATTCATATTTTTCTTTTTTTTCTTGTTTTTGACTGTGGCAAGCAACCCATTGTGTGTGTACGTGCATGTGTGAGTTGACTGGGCCCAACAAGCAATGATCGGGGCGAGACAAAAATAGCCCAAAATAAAAAGAGGCGTCAGTCTTTTAAGGTTGAGCAGCGGCCCCACTGTTTTGCGCAATGTGATTGGCCTGTGGCTGCTTAGGATCTGCCTCTTTGCCGACACCCAATCGGGCATGGCGTGAGTGCCTTGTTGCCTGGTAAGGCGTGATGCGTTTCTGCCGGTCCTTTCCCAAACGGGAGACTCAGTATCACGTGACTTTAATGAGATCACGCGGGCGTCATCGAGTGCGGGCCGGCCAGTGGCTGCCCCAGCCACACCTGCCTGTTTGGGCAACGCTCTGCCCCGTGCTCAGCGGCCAATAAAATCACAGCGCAAGCCATGTTGAGAACATCCAACATGCAACTAAACTAACTACGTTCTTGTCCTGTGTCACAACATCTTGCTATGATGTAATCTAGGCGTATGGACAAGAGGGAGAGTGGAAGCCATATCGTCATCTATGGGAGATGGGAGCTGGGGCTGAGGAGCATTATAAAAGAAACTACACTCTCACCATCTCTCCATCCAAGTCAACCGTGAAAAACACAAAACACGAAAAATTGCACTCAATTCGCCTTTTTGAAACAACAAAACGTACATACTATAGTGAACATTCAATATGTCGAACCTATTACACAAGGTCAAAGACGCGGTTACGCACAGCACCCACGACAAGCCTAGCTCTTCCACCAACGCCGGCCCGCACGATTCCAACGTGATGAATAAGGCTGACCCTCGTGTGGACAGTGACCGTGGTGAGTGAAGTTCATTTAGTCTGCATTACAATTCAGTCGCTCTGACGATGTGCCCTAGACCACCGCAGTGCATACACAGCTGCCGGCACAGGCGGCAGTACTTACGGCTCTGGCACTCGCTCTGGCACTGGCACTGGCACTGGCACTGGCACTGGTGCTGGTGCTTACAATAGCGGTACCACGGGTGCCGGCGCAAATACCAGCCCTTACGGATCTGGAACCGGGTCTGGTGCCTACGGCGCTAACACAGGCACTACCACTTCTGGTCCTCACGACTCAAACCTGGCCAACAAGGCTGACCCGCGTGTCGATAGTGACCGAGGTATGCAATAAGTCTTCAATATGTGCGTGCTTGCGTTTTACTAATATCGGTACAATAGGCCAATACGGTACGACCGGCGGCGTAGCTGCTGGCGGTGGTTACAATACCAACCCTAACTCGAGCAACGCTGGCCCTCACAGCAGCAACCTGGCCAACAAAGCCGATCCTCGTGTCGACTCTGATCTCGACAACCGCTCCCGCCACCAAAATCTGGCCGGAAACACACAGGCCCCTGCAGGCAGCAGCTATGCTACCCCTGGAAGCGGCGCTGCGCAGCAGACTGCTGGCCCGCACGACTCGAATCTCGCAAACAAGCTTGATCCTCGCGTGGATTCTGACCTGGACTACAGCCGCACTGTTGGCGCAAATGCCACTAGGTACTGATTTTGCTAGCGCGTAGTCGGCGGATGATTATGAATTACGATGTCTTGGATCTTTCGTGGTATTATTATAAAAGGTTGTCAATTCATATCACAAACACGACGTCGAGGCATGCAATGTACTTAATTTCATACTTAATTTGATACCAATATGCAATTTTCTCTGAAATACGTCTCCCTTGTTGGTAAATATGCCTCTTAATCATCTCAGCCAGTTTCGTAATCAGATGGATGAACTCGAGATTTCGGCCTTACCATGGCTCGGGTTTCTCAAATTCATGTGGCCAATGGCATGACAGACCCGTGGAACGGTGCTACGCATGCATTTACCCCCAATACCAGAAAGGAGAGCTTCGTGGCAAAACTGCCCAGCTATGATGCGGAGTGAGGGTATATCGCATGTCACTTACATAGTCAAGCATGTAAGCGGCCCGCACTACGAAAAAGTTCCAAGGTTAATGATCGACCTCGAGGCAAATTCTTTCTGAATTTACGACCTAGGTAAAGAAATTTGCACTTCCTAGAAAATTCACCTTTTTCTCCATCATCTGCATCTCGGAATAATTCGCTCAATTGCATGCTGTGGTCGCATCATCGTGTGGCGAAATACTCCTCCAGTTGGTTTGATCCCAGAGGCCTAGCCCGCGATTTGTGAAATAGAACGATGACTCTATGCTACTTGTGGGCACAAGGGAGAATTTATCCAACGACTGGGGATACGAACGGATCTTTGTCTCATTGATCAGTGAGCCCTTGTCGGCCAGGCTGGTTGCGGAATCATGAAGTCTGCCAAGTTTCAATGCCCTCGGTAAATAGATGCTTAGACAGATGAGGTGATGGATGAGGTGATAGATAGAAATGTATATAAATAGGTGGTGCAGAAGCCTCGACTTTCTGTGCCATACCGAGCTGCAATACCTAATTTTTTTATCATTTTCAAGACACGTTTCAGATAAACACTCAAAATGTCATCCAATTGGAATCCCAGCAACTACGGCTCCGAGCAGGGCAACTTTGCCAGCCGTGCTCGCGACGAAGTTAAAAACCTTGCAAAGAAGGGCACCGAACAGGCTCGCTCTGGAGGATCTGGTGGCTTTGGTTCGCAGAACAAGGTACGGCTAGCCCTTCATGTTAAGTTTCAATAATCGGCCATAGCCTAACACGAAGTGACTGATATAGAATGACATTTCCTCTGCCCAGGGAGGAAATCAGAATCAATCCTCTGGAGCTGGCCTCTGGAACAGCAGCAGCAGCAACAAGGAGGCCAGTGGATATGGCACTGGCTACAATACTCGCGGATCTCGTTCCAGCAATGACAACACCAACACCGGCGACTACTATGACTTCCCTGAAGAATAAGTGTTAGCTTGCTCTTATGGTGTGTTGCCTTCGCACTATTGCGTGGCAATAATATGCGGTTGTTTTTCTTTTTCTTGTCTGCCTGAAGTTTGTGATGATAGTAAACATGGGAAAATATTACAGAACATGCAGAATATCAATTTTCTACAGTTTTGGTGTGCTGCTAGAGACTCGAGATGGTAGAGATGATGTCAGTGTCACGTCGGCGTGAGCCAACACATTTAATTCCAAAATTTTCTTACGTTGTTTACATGCTGAGTAACTATCCATGAACCTGACCAGGCTAGAGAACTGTGCAGGATAATGTCATGAACAGGCGGAGAAGCAAGCTCACTGCACGTCTGTGGAGGTTTTCTTCACAATGGTTTCTAATCCCGCAAGGGACAGGAATCGTTGCCATCATCCTCCATCAGCTTAAATATCAGTTCCATGGCCTGGAGACCATCTCCGAGATCGTCTGGGTATACACCATCGTCCTGCTGTCGGTGTTTATACTGTTGTATATGCTTCGCGTCTGCGTCTATCCACGTCATGTCGCCGCCGAGTACCGCACCAACATTGCCGAAACGTCGTGTCTCGCAAGTATCGGCATTGCGTTGACAACTATCACACAGATGATTGCACTCACGCTGGTCAAACAATGGGGGCCCAGCTGGGGCATTGTCGCCTACGTGTTCTGGTGGATCGTGACTAGCATGGCGGTGGTCTCTCTTCACCTCATCACCTACGTCCACGTCAAAGTCCAGCCGCCAGGAGTCACGGATATGTCACCACAGATGCTACTTCCTCTCATCGCAGCATTGACCTCGGCCGCGGCCGGTGGCACTCTGTGTGTCTACGGCGCCTTGAGCCCGGCACTGCAGGGACCAATTTTGGTTGTCGCATATCTGGAAATCGGCGCCGCGCTGCCGTTGGCAATATGCATGGTCGGGATCTTTCAGTCCCGGCTCATCAACCGAGGCTTTCCGAGTATCGAACATGTATGCGAGGACATGATTCTCTGCGGACCGTTTGGCCAGGGCAGCTTCGCCCTGCTGATCGCCGGGAGAGCCATTCAGAATAACGTGTCTAGTGCCAATGTCAGCCAATATAACCTTGGCGATTTTCTGACAGCTCAGTCTGCAGGGGCGCTCGGCACTGCAAGCGAATTTGCTGGGCTGCTGGTGTGGGGATGCGCAACGTTTTGGTGGGTTTATGGGGTGATTGGGATCGTGCACACGCTTGCGGTGCAGATGTATCGAACAGAGACAAGGCAAGGGTTGAGATTTTCGATGGGGGCATGGTCGCTTGTGTTTCCCATGGTGAGTTTGACTTTGTGTCCTTTGTTTGTTTGAGTTTTCGAGGTCGAGGTAACAGTGTTTCAATAACAGGGAGTCTACACAAACGCAACCGTCCAGCTGGGCCAATTGATGCACTCGCCGGCTTTCAATGTCTGGTCAACGATCCTCCTGATAATGCTGCTACTGATATGGATCGCCAACCATGTGTTTACCATCAAAGGCCTGATTACAGGAAGCCTTCTGGGTCCGGAGGCGTTGGGGCTGAAGCAAGAACGGAGCGCTGTGTAGAACGAACTAGAGCTTTGTAGATCCAGAACCAGCTAAATGCAACAGTAACAAGGAACAAAACGCACTACGGAATATAAGTGTAACGAGAGAGGAAATGTCGACGCTAGGATGTGGCTTATCTGCCTTGTTTTGCGTGTTCAGTCTTGACTCTCAGGCACTAAGCCGGGCGATCCACGCCTAAAGCGATCTGCGCGCGCACAGCCAGCCAGTCAGATGGGCGGCTCGCGTTGGAAATGGGCTGGCTAGCCATGTAGTAAGCAGGCCCAAAAAAAAGAAAAGACAAGAAAAAGCAAGGCTGGATGCCGTCTCAGATAAGCGGTCTCTCCTCTCTACACACAACATCCCCCGGGTTTCCGAAAATGGCCGCTTTCGCGACGGAAATGTGACGGAAAGCGAAAACGGCAAAAGAAGAGAACATGGCCAAGTTAAAACCAGCGTCGCCGTATGGCTGGAGGGCGCAAAGGTATAGGAATGTGTGGATTGCAGTAGCCACGGTCGCTGTCGTGGTGGCCTTAGGCCTCGGGCTCGGACTCGGCCTCGGGCTGGGACTGCATAGAAAGCATCGCAGCCCCCCATATCCAAATCCTCCAAGTCCTAATGCGCTTGCATACTGCTCCGATGCTGCTGGCTCGTACAAACTCGCCTATATTACCGCCCCGGAACGACTCCAGAGCAATGGCACTGCTGCGCTGGCGTCATCATGGAATCTTACCGTGGACGACACCAAGGCAGGTTACAAGCAGATCATCACGGGCTTTGGCGCCACAGTGACTGATGCGACAGTTGTCTCCTTTAATTCGCAGACGAATGCGACTCAGCAAAGCCTGCTGAGCCAGTTGGTTACCGGCGCTGGCGCCAACTTTTCCATGATGCGCCATTCAATCGGAGCCAGCGATCTGTCGCAAAGCGCATATACCTACGACGACAACGAGGGCAAGGTCGATTCTAATCTAGTAAACTTCACACTGGGCGACCAGGGCACGGCCATGGCCCAGTTGCTGGCACGGATGAAAGAACTCAACAGCGGGCTGCAGATCATGGGTACGCCGTGGAGTCCGCCCGGATGGATGAAGTTGAATGGCGCGCTCGATGGCAGCATCACGGACAACAACCTTGATGACGGGTATTTGACCAGCAAAGGGATTGGGAGCACCGGCCATAGCCACGCCTTTGCCCAGTACTTTGTCAAATACATCCAAGCATACGCCGACCTCGGAGTCGCGATTGATGCCATCAGCATTCAGAACGAGCCGTTGAATAGCCAGGCGGCTTATCCCACCATGTACGTGTACTCGGACGAGGCTGGTCAGTTAATCAGAGACTACGTTGGTCCTGCGCTTGAAAACGCAAATTTAAGTACTGCTATCTGGGCTCTCGACGATAATACAGGTAAATTCTTTCTTTGTTCTATCTCGTCGAAAAGAAGATTCCCAAACTAATAATACTGTGCAGATGATGTGGACTATGCCGAAACCGTGCTCGAATACGCAGACAAGTATATTGATGCTGTGGCGTGGCATTGTTACGCATCAACTCTTAATTGGACTGTCCTGACCGAGTTCCATAACCAGTATCCTAACGTTAGCCAGTACATGAGTGAATGCTGGACGCCAACCAATATTTCATGGACACACACTGTCAACTTCACCATGGGTCCACTTCAGAACTGGGCCAACGGCGTGATGGCATGGACGCTTGGAACGAACGACGACGCCGGCCCTCATCTCAACGGCGGCTGCTCATCGTGCGACGGGGTGGTGACTGTGAATAGCACTGCTGGTGGTAGCGATCGCAGCAGCACGGATGTCGGATATGAATTTAGCACGTCGTATTATATCATGGCGCAATTTAGCAGATTCATACCGCGGGGCGCACGCATATTGCAGGCAAACGGAAGCTACACGAATGAAAATGGCGACGGGATTCAGACGGTGGCCAGTCTCAATCCGGATGGCTCGAAGACGGTTGTGATCGAGAACACATTCGGAAATGTCACCAATGTCACTGTGAGTTTGGTGAGCGGTGATGTCTGGACAGGGAGTGTTCCGGCAACGAGTGTTACGACGTGGCTTCTGCCATGATATTCTATGTTTTCTATCTATGTTTCCGAATGGGATGAATCAATAGACGACGGATTCATAAGTATTGCTCTGATGAATTCAGAATAGTTTTGTTTTTTTTTTTTTTTGTTTTTCTATTTTTATTTATTTTTCCCCTCCCGAGCATAGATGCAAAGTTACCCATGCCTTCGCGTGGGCTACAGCTCATGGCGTGTTGAAAGATTTGCAAATTTAATAAAAAAAGGTTTTGGAAGTGGGGATTAAGTAAACTAAAAGTCTTAGGATTAATCTACTTTTTTATATATTAGCCATATATAAAAGTATATACTTAGGCTTCAAGAATAGCTAAAATTAAAGTCTTTTAAGGCCAGGGTTAAGATGATTTAGGGCTTAGAAATTGAGGCTAAAGGCCCACATAGTGTAAATGCCTCAGGCACACATGCATACAAGCTTATATATATCGGCAACCAGCGTAATTGACAGAGTCGATTACTTTGTGTTACCTTTTGGTGCAGTGGTTGGTGCCTTGAGGCCTTACAGAAATAGATAAGAATTAAAGAAGAGTTAGGCTCTTTAAAAACATATTATTATTGTATGCCCCTTCTAATAACTATACTTAATATATGTAAAGTATATATTATAATGGTATGCTAAAAGTCTTGGTATATAGGTCCATTTTTGACACTAAATTTTCAACACCATGAGCTGTAGCACCGCCTTCGCGCCCCCATGCCTGGCGGTGTGCACCACGGCTCAACGTCACCCTCAGCTGAACGTCAAGGATTTTACAAGTCACTTTTATATTTTAGTAAATAAATGTTATTTATATTATAGATTTAAAAAATATTTTAAAATTATTTGGATATTACGTTGTGGGGCTGCGTAGACATACTGCCGGCAGTTTTATTATATGTGGTTAGGCCTCCCGGAGCTCACCGCCTTGGGTACCTCAACTATTTCCCGGCCATTTAGATTAGTCGACTCAAAATCTTCATCTTTTCTCATTTTTCCGTGCATTACTTTGCCTCCATGAGCAAATCGCTCATCAAATTTCTATATAAAATGGAAATGACGTTAAGCTAAGGGTGACGTTGAGCCCTCGGTGCACCCACATCGCCAGGCATGGGGGCGCAAAGGCAAATAGACGCAGACCCTGTCAGAGTTTTATTCTCTAGGCAATTTAAGTTATGACTTAAGGTTATCTTATTATCTTATACGAGCTTGGTTGGGGCCATATTGTTCAGCTCTCGCAGGCTCCTCCATTACGACGTCCGACGGCCGAAACGCGGCCCAGCTTTAATTGCGATGTTTATTTCTGCTGCCTCCATTTTTAGACGCTGCAGCCAATCAGAGGCGCCAGTTACGAGGGTGCCTGCGATGAGTTTATTTCCACGAGGCTATTTTTGAATTTTAAGTGTACAGAAGTGGCCCGAATGGGAGATGTTGAAGCCAACCAGAAGACATTCGTGATGGACCGTCTAAAAATAGACTGCATCAAAAGCGACAAGCGGACCATGGCATCATTTAAAGGCCTCTTCCTCGGTCTGGTGCCAGGGTAGATAGATATCTATCAATCAGAAATCAAACCCAAGCAATACAGTTTAATCACAACATTCCTTCTTCCTTATTCTTTGCCAGTTTCTCCGATAGTGTTGCGGCGAAGATGCGTGCCATCGCCCTTCTGATGCCTCTATTGGCTTCAATTCAAGCCATTGTTGAAGCCAGGCCAGTCGAGACAAAAAGTCTAGCAGCATTACCACCTGTTGTGACAATGTTGCAAACCAGTATGCCGCCGGAGCTTATTGTACGAGACCCAGCATCGTCTTCCTCATCCTCCTCAACGACTTCATCAAGCGACTCTTCATCCACGTCAACGGCATCCTCCTCGTCATCAACCGATACATGCCATCCAACCATTGCTCCCGACAAGAATGGCTATGTACCGCCAACCGAGTGCAATGCCATGTACGATTACTACCCATCATTCAGCACGGCTGTGGCATTCACTACCTTGTTCGGAATCCTGCTAGTCGTACATTTTGCCGAAGCGTGTATTCTCAAGGCTAGCTTTGTCTGGGTTCTGACAATGGCCGTGGTGTGGGAATTCACCGGTTACCTGACACGAACGTTCAGCACCAAGAACCAGCAAAGTAGTGGTTGGGCTACGGCAACCCAGCTGCTGGTTTTGCTTGCTCCATTGTGTATGTACATTACGATTACCTTACTACGGCTGTTCCTCTTTTCGGTCTTCGATAAACGTCGTCGATTCTTATTTCAGGATAGATGCTTACTGAATTTGTTTCACAGGGGTCAACGCATTCGACTACATGGTCCTCGCGCGCATGATCTGGTTCTTTGTTCCCGAGCGGTGTATCTGGATATTCAAGCCCTCCATGTTGGCGATTATTTTCGTTTGCCTCGATATCGGCTCCTTCTTCGTGCAAGCAACTGGTGGCCTCATGGCGACCCCTGGAGCAAGCGCCTCCACAATACAAACTGGGCTACATATATATATGGGCGGTATTGGTATCCAGCAGTTCTTCATTTTCTGCTTCCTTATCCTTGCCATCCAATTTCATCGGCAGATGTTACAACTGGAGAAACTCGGGGCGTTACAAGGGGAAAAGACCCGCTGGAAGTGGCTTCTCTATAGCCTCTATTTCAGTCTGGCTGCTATCACCGTGCGCATTATCTACCGCTTGATCGAATATTCGTCTGGAATTGGACTGAATAACCCGATCACAACACACGAGTGGTTCATGTACGTTTTTGACGCTGTTCCGATGCTGTTTGCTACGGGGGTTTGGGCTGTCGTCCACCCTGCCAAAGTCTTGAGGGGACCAGATGCAAAATTGCCGCCTAGCGGACTTTTGCGCATTTTGTGCTGCGGTTACTGCTGCGGTGGTTGCGCTTGCTGTCGATGTGGTGGCGATCGCAAGAACAAGAAGCGTGCAGCCATGGAGCATCTCTCTAGTCGGCCTCGGTCGGAAGAGGAGTTGAGGCCTGTAAGCTATGGGTCGGAGACTTTATTGGCTTATTATGAGGAACGATCGATCTCGCCGCTAGGGAAGGCGAATCGTGATATCGGATATGAGCCGTATCGTTCACTGGCGGTGTAACTCGCCAGATTTTCTTTGTATCGCATCAAAATAGTCTTCTCTATGTTATCTAGCGATTTAAATCAGATGATTAAGGTGCGTTTGAGAATTTCTTCATATAATGTCCATGGATGTACATATACACACGTACATGCTTTGTAAGGACAAGTATAAGAAACTTGGGTGTATTCCTTAAATTGCTTCTGCAGTTCATTAATATTCAGTAGCAACATCATTGCTAGTTCTTATGAAGACCCCAGGCAAACCTTGCCAGAGTTAATATATCTATTCGACGAAGGGCAAGATCTATGGTGTAAATACTATTATATATCGCAGGCGCATTTGATTGGCCAATCCCTTGCGAGAGCCTTGCGAGCCCCCACTTTATCGTGGACATGGCCCTAAAATGTCCGAAATAGGGGATAATGAAGATTTGTTCTTTTCTTTCCCTTTACTTTTCATTTTTCTCAAGGAATGCGACAAAAAACATTCTGTTCTCAAAGGTATTGTTACACTTGGGGACACTGAAGAAGGTTGCTTGTACACGAACATCTATAGATGTCAACCTCACGGCATCCGCCTCCTGGCGAACCTTCTGCCTCGAAAGAAAATGCAATGCTTCGTGAGCGCCTAAAGACCGACGGTAGGACCGAGAAGAATGCAAATGTTACAGACTCCTCTAGCAAACACGCGAGCAGCAGGCGCAGGCAAAGATCGTCAGACCCAAACACGCGCAGCTTCTGGCGACGGTCTTCAAAATGTGCAGTCAAGCGCCGCTGGTCAATCCCATTAGCACCCTTGGTCGCCTTTGGGCTGCTTTATGTTGTCAACCCGACCGATTCGAATATTGTTTGCCGGTTCTTATTTCTATCGTACAAAAATACCCACAGCAGCTCTACAACAGGGGCGCCACATTACGGCAAGGGACCCTGGGATATTGCATTTGTTCTATTCTACACTCTCGTTCTGTCCTTCACGAGAGAGTTTATCATGCAGGAAGCTTTGCGCCCGTTGGCACGTCGTTGTGGCATCGTCTCGCGAGCAAAGCAGCTTCGATTCATGGAACAAATGTATACAGTCATATATTTCGGAATCATGGGACCAGCGGGCTTATATGTGATGAAAAAGACGCCAGAGGTATGGTATTTCAACACACGAGGCATGTACGAATCTTTCCCTCACAAAACCCATGTCGCTGCCTTTAAATTCTATTATCTATTCCAGGCAGCGTACTGGGCACAGCAGGCACTCGTCATGTTACTGGGCTTAGAGAAGCCGAGAAAAGACTTTAAGGAATTGGTCATGCATCATATTGTGACTTTGGCTTTGATTGGATTGAGCTACCGATTTCACTTTACGTATATGGGCATTGCTGTATATATTACTCATGACATAAGTGATTTCTTCCTCGCTGTAAGACTGAACCTGCCATCTAACAGATTAAGAACCAAATTCTCACGTTTTACTTCTGTATCCTCTCATCAGGTCGGCAAATCGTTACAGTACGCAAATAGTCCACTCGCGAGCCCTGCGTTTGCAATATGTGTGACCGCATGGATTTATCTACGCCACTACCTCAATTTGCGCATCCTATATTCTCTCCTTGGAGGAGAGTTCCGCACCATTGGACCTTACGAATTGGATTGGGAGACGGAGCAGTACAAGTGTTGGATTTCAAATATTATTACTTTCGTCCTTCTGGCTTGTCTTCAGGCGTTGAATTTGTTTTGGCTGTATTGCCTGTTTCGAAGTGTGTATCGGTTTGCTGTGTATCGGATTCTGAAGGATGATAGGTCTGATGATGAGGAGGGCGTTGATAAAGCCCAGTGAAGCATGCATGTACTCTATTACGAGCCTACAAATGTTGGAACATAATGTTTAATATCTAGCTTAATAACAGACAGTCGTTATTCGTTTCGTAATTCCTTCAATCATCTCTATGTGCCTTATAGCAATAAGAGATTTATCATCTACATTCAGCCGCAAATAAATATCCGTATCCAATTTATGTATACATCTTAGACAAATACGCAATGAACCCCTCCCACAAATATCTATCACTTGGCCTTTCCGTTCAATCCTCGTATATGGTCTTCCTCTTCGACAATGGCCAATGGCAATCCGCGAAATAGCCCAAAGAAAATAAAGGGCACCCATTTCCAGCGGAAAGGATTAATAATACTCACAAAGCAGTACCAGTATATAAGCTCGGCATATGTGAAAAAGTCAAACGCCTTGGTAGGTGCGAACTTTTTGAGTGTCCTCGTGAAGCCAATCCAAAGTTTCATGAGCGACTCACGAGGCCGTGATAGCGGATCGACGAGAAACATGAGGAGGAAGCGCGTGTAAATGCCAATGTGATAATTGCCAACAGTTCCAATGGCATTCACATAAGTGCTGTTCGTAGCGCAAATAGTTGGGTCCTGTGGCGGGAACACCTGTAAATACCAGTTCGGCGGCTCGTAGCCCTTCTCGAAGACATTGTCTGGAAGAAATGCAAGAGATGGCCTCTTATATCCCGTGGCCATGATAATGACATCTCCACGCACAAGTGATTCGTGACCAGGACCACCCTTGGGCACGCCCTGTGCGCGGTGGTTGAACATGATGCCTTCATTCTGAACGTTGACGATATCCCCCCTTAGCCAGCGTGCTTTTCCAGCCCGGATCTGATCGAAGAGTTCCGAGTTGACCATGGGTGTATCGGTGTAGAGGCCCTTCTTGGCGGGGGAGATATCCTCCAGGTCTCGATAAAAGAACTTGCGCAGTAGCCATTCAGGGATCCAGGAGAACGACGTTTCTCCCCCAAATACATTCAAGGAAAGGAGCACATCGACAAAAACATTTCGTGGGATGATCCATTTATCGGAGCGTGAGAGCACGTCAATCTCTGCAGCATGGTTCTGAACTGCAAATTCTAGTGCCTCGACCGCGCTCGCTCCACCGCCGATGATGAGTATTTTCTTCCCCTCGACATCCTTTCCGTCCAATTCGGATGAATGATATGTTGGGCCATTGAATTTATCGTGGTCGGGCAGGCGCGGCATTTGGGGGTCTCCGCACGAGCCTACTGCTGCGATGATGCCATCAAAACTGCCATGTTCCTGTTCGTTATCGTTGATCACCCATCGCCCGGATGACGCGTTCTTTTTTATAGAGGTAACGGGGGTTTCAAAAACTGTCTTTTTATCGAGGCCGTATGTCTTCCACACGGAAGCAATTTGTTTTTTGATATCCTGCTGCTGCGGATAGGCTGTATCCCACTTTACAGACGGATGGAAACGAAACATAATTGAGTGGATTTGCAGGGCCGAGGTTGAGTTCACCCGCTGCATCAATAGAAAGGGATGGCTTAGTATGTCAATGTAGTCGAGTATTGATAAAGAAAAGCATAGTTATAAGTCAACTTACGCTCCATATCCCGCCCAGACCTTTCTCCCTTGACCGTGTTTCGAAGATCTTGACATCAAATCCATGGCCAACACAGTGCGCTGCCGAGGACACTCCTGTCAGACCAGCCCCAATAACAGCAATTCTAGGTCTACGCAGCTTGTCGGTTGGAGGAGGGGGCACTGGTGCGAAAATCCAATTCAGCACGTTTTGGATGAGAATGTAGACAAAACTCAAGGGCTGTGTAATAGCAAAGCCGACGACTGACTTTGCATGGTGAAGTGTGTCAGCCATTGTCACTTTTTCTCTATCTCTGTCTCTTCTGTTCAATGGCAATAGCAATGACGAGAGGAAGAAAAAAAGAACCAGCGGGTGGAAAAAAGGAAGATATTTCAATCGAGCATGTTCGTTCGATGACGTCAATATTGACATGTGATTGCGACCCGCCGTGTGCCTTGTTTACCTACAACTCAACGACTGATGTCAGTAAAGTATATGTGAACCATGCTCATGGACTTATATAGAGTAACTAAAGACGATTAGTAACTGCCAGCCAGTGTAACAGATGTGGCGGTCTTCTTTTCTATGGCGTGAATATCGCTGCATGGCTTGCTTGCCGTTCTTGGAAACGTGTTGCTACGATGATCCTCCAATCTTCATAGATTCTAATCAATTGACTGATTCAGTGTTTTGTTTAAGATGGCAGAAGGTACTTCAATCAAGCCGTCATTCTGATGCTCTTCTTCTGTCCAATTCCGAAATCTCTAGAACCGACTATTCCGCCTACGGACACAATTCAATGTATAGTTACCTAGGTATTCCCTGAGAACCTACTTTACAACAATCTCAGTTGCATGTTTCAACAACTTATTCAGCCCTGAGGTCCCGTTGGTATGACGGTAGTGATCCTGCGCCGCATCCATGATCGCCTTTACTCGCGCAACGGGCACTTTCTCCTTGCGGTCGTACGAGTATAGTCCGTTGACTTCCTGCTCGACGTCGCACCTATAGAGGACATTAGTATAAACATTAAGAGAGAAATAAACAAAAAGGAAAAAAGAAAAGAGGAGAAAATCCGCTCACAGCTGCGTGTATACTAGGCCACAGCAAAGTCCCCCTTTCACAACTGCCATGACTAGCTTCTCAAATCTCTTCAAGAAATCTTCCACATCCGCCGCCGTTGTATAACCCCAGTCACGCTCACCAGAAGCTCCGTCCTTGGCTGGCGCAATATTCACTCCGCCAAACTCGGTGCAGATTACTGGTGCACCGGCCGTGTGCTGCGAACCGGGATCGGCGAGTGTGTGGCTTGAGTAACTGGCATAAATTGGCTTCGTGAACATCTCGTACTTGCCGTTCAGGCCGAGGATCCCGGCTTCCATCTTCGAGCATCTTTCTGCAAGCTCCAGCGAGTCAGTGTAGTCATGAAAGGTGGTGAGGTCGGTAATAACGTGTTCCCAGCCACAGTTGTCGTTGACAGGTCGGCTAGGGTCCAGGGTTCTATAGTAATATCAGTTTCATCCATAAAGAATTATAACCTCGAGCATAGCCCCAGATAAATCACATACTTGGTCAAATAATAAAGCGAGCGAATATGATTCCGTTGGTCAATGTTATCCTTGAGCGACGTATATGCCCAGCTCTCGTTCACTGGCGTCCATGTAATCACACATGGATGATTGATATCCCTCTTGACAGCCTCTGTCCATTCCCCATTCATGCGCTCTATATAGTCCTGCCCGAACTCATACGCATTCGCCATCTCTCCCCATACCAGAAAGCCGAGCCGGTCAGCCCAGTAATGGAAACGTGGATCCTCGACCTTCTGGTGCTTGCGGCATCCATTGAATCCGAGCGCCTTGGACATTTCAATGTCTGCTTTGAGTGCCTCCGATGACGGCGGCGTCAATCCAGTTTCGGGCCAGTAACCCTGGTCTAGGAGCAGCATTTGGAAGTACGGCTTGCCATTGAGTCGGAAAGTGCTGTCGCCGGTTTGCCAGGAAAGGCTGCGCATGCCCGTTGTCGTGGTAACTTCATCTATGACGGCGCCGGTGCTGCCGTGCTTCAGTCGCAGCACTACGTCGTATAGAATAGGATGCTCCGGCGCCCACAACGCGACATTGTTGTACCAGACATCGTCCGTGTTGAATGGAGATTTCTCGCAAACCCCATCCGGTTTTGATACCTTCATGCTCGCATCCACGATGACCCAGTCCCGTTCTTTTGGCAGGTCTGCCTTTGCCGTGCTGATGGGCAAACCTCCCAGGCTGATCTCAACCTCGACACTGCACGCTGCCTGCGCCGGACGCCCAGTGACAGCGATTTTACCGTGCAGCTCGCCACGCTCGATATCATCAGAGCGAAGGACAGTCCCACCGCTACCACAGCAGAGGCGTAGCGCAGGCACGCTTTCCATCCACACGGAGAGCCAGATCCCGCTAGTGGGCGTGTAGAAAATGTTCTCTGGAACTGGGCCCCAAAATTGCTTCCCTCGCGGTTGCGCGAGATCATATGGTGAGTCGCGGACGCGAACGGTCAGGCGCGCAGTTTTCTTGTCACTATTTCTAATGAATGCGTCTGAAACGTCGACATCGAAGGGAACATGACCCCCACGGTGGCTGCCAACCAGCGAGCCACCAACCCAGACAGAGCACTCATAGTCCACTGCACCGAAGCGGAGAAGTAGCCTGTTGCCTCTGGAGTGTTCATCTGCGGTGCGGATGTCAGTGATAGTCCGCTCATACCAAATCACCTCGTGCGCTTCATAGAGGTTGATGCCGGAGGCTGGAGACTGGAATGCGTAGGGGACCTGGATATCTCGTTTGGCTTCACTGCCTGGGATCCCGTTCTTGTGCCATTGTTGCGATAGCCCGGTGTCGCTGTCGTCAAACACAAAGTCCCATATTCCGTCGAGGGAGGCCCAGGACAGGGCCTTGCGCTGGAAGTCGGGGCGTGGGTATGATGTCGCCATTGTGAGTCTCTGGTTGCTGCACTTTGGGAGGAGGATAGGACAACTGAAAGCACCTGAAAACACCTGAAAGCACCTGAAAGCACCTGAAAGCACCTGAAAGTGCCTGAAAGTTACCTGGGCGACCCCACGTTGCTACGTCAGAGCCCTTCCCCGCAAAGTTTCGTAACCCTAAATATCCGCATTGGGATGCTGCATGTATGGAATCTCAAAACCACGTGCATGCTGTACCTTTGATAAAACGAATTCAATACCCTGATGCAGTCTATATGCCGGCAATTTGCAGCACATGTACGCTAGGTGTAAGACACTGCAATGAGAACCATTAAGATTGTTTCGTGCCCGCTGGTTACGACTTTAGTCTATCCATCTTAAGCTGAGTCTCCAATCTCCAAAATCTTCCAAGCAAGGTTGATCTCTACCAGTCACGTCCACTACAACAGATTATATGGGCTGAAGAAGTAAAATTGTTTGTGATATACGTGCAGTATGCCCTTGTAGTGACTTGACAAGAGTATCCAAAAAAAAAAAGAATAACGCCCAAAAGCTCACAAAGTGCCTTGTTCCTTCTTGTTGATTGCCATACGTTACTCATTATCCTTAACATCAATGATAGTGGACTTGAACTTCCTAGCAGGAGTCCTGCGATTGAATAAGATATCGCTCTCGCGGTAGGAGCGGCCTTTGAGCTCCGGAAGAAAGAAGAAGGCCGTAATCCAGCAGACAGAGGCGGTGAATGCCCAGACGTAACCACACTTGCCTGCGAGGTTCCATCCTGTCGTATTCAGCATCTTGGAAGATAGGTAGATCATGGGGATCTCTGCTATATAGTAGGCGGAACGCCCAACAGCGGTGCTTAAAGCGCGAAGGCGTACAGAGGATGTCTCCGAAATGATAGTGTATGAGATGGGACCTTGGGTACCGGCAAACACAAATGAGATCAAGATGCCTAAAACGGCCTGGGCGTAGTTGGTTGCAGAGGTCTGTGTAACAGACGCGCAGATGCCGAGAACAATCAGTAGCGTGATGTTAGTTCCCAACCCACAGAGATAGATGGTGCGACGGCCGAACCAAGCGGTGAGGAACCAAGAGCATGCGTTGGCGACAAATTGAAGACAGGAGTTAATTAGATTGAGTTGGAAAGCCTTGTCGGGCGAGATGCCGGCCTCTAAGCGGGAGAAGTTAGAAATCCACGCATCAAGAGATCTTGAAGAGGAGTTACTCACGCTCGAAAAAGAAAGTTGCCTGGTTGGCAATCAGGTTACCAGCAAAGTTCTGTGACGCGTACATTAAACAGGTGATAATCGTTCGCCTTAAATCAGTTCCCTTGACAAGGTCGAGGAGGGTAGGGGTACCACCCATTTGAGCTTCAATCTCAACCGTTCGCTCAATCATTGCAAGTTTCTTTTGGGCGCTCTCTGGAGATTTGTCACCAAGCCTTTTGATAGAACGAAGAGCCTCCTCCTTGCGTCCGTGGCGAATCAGCCACCAGGGAGATTCAGGGGCGAGGAACACGAGGACTATAAGGGGGGTCTAGACAAATTTAGCGCTCGACGATACAAGATACGAACGGAGTGACCCACGGGAAAAATCCACTGCAGCGCTGTTGGCATTCGCCATGACCATTGATCATCCCGATTATTGTACCCATAGGTCGCACCGGCGACAATGATTGAGCCGATGGACCAACTCATCTGCAGAGTGGCTGTGCAGGCAGCTCGAAGATTCAACGGAACAACTTCGCTGGCATAGGCGGGGGAATTCGCAATGAAGAACCCCCAAGGGACACCCTCAAAGGCTTGTCCAATTACCATGACGGTGAGCGAATCGGCCTAAGCGTATTATTGACTTGGTCAGTTGACAACACGATTTAAACCATGGGGCTGAGCGACACACAAAGAAGGAAATAAAGATAGTGGCGTTCATAAGGATCAGGCCCACTATAGTAGTCCAGCGATAGCCAATGCGGTTGGTGATGGGGCCTGCTAAATATACGCCGACAAAAGCACCACATTGTCCAGCTTGGAAGAGGGCGCTCTGCCATCGGGTTGGGATAGAATAGGAGCCATCAACGGCGACACCGTATCTGCGCTTAAAATAGCTAAGCGCAACGAAGTTGGTATTCAGGAACATGTCGAACGACTCCATGACCTGATAGTGGTGGCCATCAGCTGTTGCTCTGCATGGGAACGGGAGAAATACCACTCACAATGGTGAAACACAGCGTGAACGCCCAAAAAAAGGCCCATGGATGGCTTCTGACTGCCGCCCATGTTCCCTGTGCGTGCTCTTCATTCTCACCCTCGAAGGCATCGTTCATGAGATCCGCGTTTGCTAAGACCTCGGAATGCTGAACATCGGTCTCATCTTCCTTGTGAAACTCCTCCTTCGTTTCGAGGATACCGGACGACATTTTGAGAGTCCTTGGTAATATATTAGTGTGCCAATGCGACAGAACTGGGAAATGGAAATACGGCCAGGAAGCGACAGGGCAGCACGCTCTTATATCTTGTGCTGCCTCTGCATCTGCACCTGCACGTCTAGGGATACCACTCCCTCACTGCCAGGGGTGTAACCTTGTGCCGCCGGGGCCTTTGCCATTTCCAGACCAGCACAGCAAATAATTAGCCGAACCAGCGTGTTTTTGAATACGGGGTTGCTCTCAAATTATCCTATTGGACTGCAAGCTTTGACCTAAGTAGATGAGGCCAGCCACCAACGCCAAACTTGCGGGCAGAGGATTACGGTGGCGCTCAAGCAGCGATTTCGACTGCACCCAAAATAGGCTGGCCGGGTAACACAGAAATGGGGTTGTTTTCTTTGCAGCACGTGAGGGACTGACAAGCGTAAACGGTAAGGGTGTCTGAGAGCGGCCACGAGTCGATGCGGGCTTCTCCATGTTTGAGGGTAAATTCCCATTGGGGTTGCGGGGACCCCAGACGGAGAGGTGCGTGCTAGTGCTTATGCCTCCCGCATTGGCTGAATAGATTGCCGCGTGTTTTTGGTTTTACAGCTAGTTTCTTGCTACAGAGGATCCACGATCTTAAGCTAGATGAACTCGCGATAATGTGACATTTCCTCTTCAGACATTAACGTGGGTTACGAACAAGCCCCGGGTCTGTAGCTGGTTGCGGGCTTGTTTCTTGTACATAATACAAAGCACCAGGCATGACTGGGACCTCGTCGAAAGCGCTACTTGCCTAGCGGAAAGTCTAACTTATTGACCAGTGGCCATTGATTCGGTTTGTTTCAAGGCCAGACCTTGATCCTCGACTTTTGGTTGGTGGAAGATCTGGTACGTGTCTGGCGGGCTTGCCACAATTTGAAGTCATATGACCGGACTGCATAATAATCGCTGATGATACGTAACAAGTAAGAATTAGGAAATGATTCAAAAGAAGCAACAGGAACCTCAAGTTGGCGCGGTTTTGCCCGGAGGTTCATTCCGGGGTTCCCCGCACTTAGGGCTAGAGCATGCATTGCCCTAAAATTTGCACCTCAAAAACTTTTTCTTTCCTAACAACCAGACATATTTGACAGCCTATAGAATTGTGTGATAGTTTCACTTGCCAAAAGTTGGTTATAGTATCAAGATAACTACACCTTATCCCACTATTGTATCGAAAGCTGCTCCTTCTTTGGTATTTAGAGCGGCTCCATTCAAGTTTGTATCCCTCATATACATGGACGCCTCTGCAACTTCCTTGGCCTCTGGAACTCTACCCTGGAGCGTCGTGCTCTTTATCACTTCAACGGTCGCCTTCCTCTCGTCTCCTGTTCCCCAAAGTTATGTGTTCACTGAGCCGCCATGACCAAGTTTGCCCTGATCGGCTTCAGCTCAAGAAGGCTCTTGGTGATGCCCATTAAGCTTGACAGGACTGGTTATTGTGGAGTGGGCTTTATAGCTGCTGTGCCACTGGCATGTGTAATTGTTTGGTTGGATACCGGTGACATTTTCTCCTTTTATGTTCAGACTCTTGGCTCTTTGGGAAACAAGAAAGTTGTCATTAAAAAGATGATTGCAGGCTATAAGAAGTGATTATTCTTGATTTTTTTGCGCTATATTTGCGCTTGGAAGCCTTTAAATGATTATCTATTCTGCAAGCTCTACATATGAACTTTCCGGGTTCATCGAGTAAAACACCAACATACAAAACATTCTAATTCCGTAAGCCATTCAAGGCATATTGTTGAATTTGCGCGATTCTACTGATATTTGTGGCCTTACCGGCGTTTATGCTATTATGTCCGGCCACTTGCAAGAGCAAGCATGCAAAAACGGATACCTAAAATGTATCGGCCATTGAGTGCTATAGTCTAAATCAGTAAAGGCTCGCAGGGATTGTGTGAACTCATGGTATACCGCGAAACGAGACTTTATTTCCGAAACGATCGAGTTACCGATTTAACTCCGTAAAAATCCTACCCAACATCTTGCAACCGATCTATTGTGGCATATCTGGCGTATCATTCTTTTCACAGTTGAAACTACCTTCAATCATTGTTTGAAGTTTATTTTCGATACCACATCCTAGTAACCTTTGTGCGCCGGATCTTCTTTTGCAGCTGAAACATGCCATATAGCAAAGCCTCACTAGTCGGCGGACAGCCTGGGACATAGATGTCGACCGGCACGATTCTGTCAACGCCCCTCACAACACTGTAGCTGTAGTGATAGTATCCTCCGCTATTTGCACAGCTGCCCATGCTAATAACCCATTTCGGATCAGGCATTTGATCGTAACATTGGCGAACCGCTGATGCCATTTTGTTTGTCACGGTGCCGGCGACAATCATCACATCGGCTTGGCGAGGGGAGGCACGAAAGATAATTCCAAGGCGATCTTGATCATATCGTGGCATCGAGACGTGCATCATTTCAATGCTGCAGCATGCAAGACCAAATGAGAGTGGCCATAGAGAACCATTTCTAGCCCAGCTGACCATCTTGTCGAAATCAGTGCTAATTCATGAAAAAAAATGGTCAGCTCGTATACCCCATTGTGATGGTAGTTAGGTTTTGTACAGAACGTATTCAACCAAGCTGGTAGGCTTGATTTCTCTAGACAAAGGTTGAGCCCTTGACGAAGCCACATGTTGGACCATTGTCGAGTGGCTGCAGATACGTGGAAAATTAGGAGTAACATAACGAGGCCCAAGGTGTGCGGCCTTTACGATTAACGAAAGCGTCGAGCTGGAAGAATGATCTGCATGACCGACTGTTAACACGAATGGTTCCTGCAACCGTATGATCACGTACATGTCATTGTCGTTGAAGGAGTGGAATTTGAAAAGCAGTTTCCTAGAACATATAAATGCATAAAAACACTGGCGACGTGCTTGCCAGTTCGGTTGCTCTCAGTCAGGCTTATATGAACCTGAGTCCGTCAGGGGCAGACATCGGGAAATTCACACATTGACCAACTTCTAGCATGCAATCGTCTGGTTTCTCGCCCCACCCCTGTGTGTGTGTGTACTCTCTGTCATACAGGGTAAATACCTGTTTATGCTAAGAGTATTCTAGATATACACGAAAGGATTACAAGGTAATGCGTTTGTCATGTGGGACGAACGGGCTTCACAAATCTTCAACAGGCTGTCTTTTGTTTCCTTGGTCTTAGTCTTCTTAGGTGCTAGAGAGGGCATAGTTTAGTTCTAGTAACTACTCATAGAAAGTAGGCTTTAATGACAATTCTTTCTCACTATGCGAATAATTCTCCAATCAAAGATTTCCGAAGGCTTAGGGCTGGGTAGCAAGGCATTCCACGAATGCGCGACGATGACCCACTGTGGACATTTTCCAGCGTCGGAAAAAACACTCATCTCTCAAGCCTCCTCACATCAACCGGCCAATTTCATCTCTCGTCATTTCTCCGGAGCATAATGGCTTCATCAAACTCCCTCGAGTGTCACATCTGCCAACTACCCTTGGTGCGAAGCATCCCACCACACCATAATCAATGCCCCTTCTGTAGCCGCAAATTTCGCCGAGTTGACGGCGCCAAACGGCATACCAAAACCTGTCGCTCGAGGGGCAACCGTGTTCTGCCACCCGATGCTAAGAGAGGAAGAAAAGTACGTGCTTGCGACGTATGTTCTCGTGTAAAAGTTTCATGCGACTCGAAAACGCCCTGTACACGTTGTGCCTCCCGAGGCTTAACATGCACGTACGGCCGGCTTTGCACGGATCCCACACACTTGGACAAGTCGAATCTGGGGGCATCCACGGACCAGGATAACTTAACATTGCCCTTTCTACTTGCCTGCACAGATCCTTCTGTCGGTCCAATAGACGAAGTCATTTTTACCGGAGAACCGGAACATAACCCAGGCCAATCAGCAGCATGGGAATCCGCAGAGGGTCATGCTATGATCTTTGACACAATCGATCCACGCCTTTTATTCTTGAGCTTCATCGGGCCTTCCTTCAGCACGGATCTGAATTACATGGGTATGGAAGATGAACCTCTTCCCAGTGCACCAGATCAACTAGAGCTGGCGAATTCGCACAAGAACCTCCTTGCACGGGTTAGTCTCCTGGAAATCGATCTTCAACAACTCGCTGCAGCGGAACATGTCCAGGACTATTTCAGCACGAGTGCTTCCACCGCCTTTTTCACGGTTTCCTACTTCCTCGAGTGTATCAAAGTCTTCTTTCAGAGGGAGCAGTTGCTAGCTACAATTATCCACAAGCCGACCTTTCACCCGGATCAAGTTGATCCAACTCTCTTATTGGCAACTGCTATTTCTGGTTCTAGTTATCTTCATTATCGACAAGGAAGTACGGGCTTGACTTTCTTTGGCTTGATACTGCGGGGGATAGCCGAGAAGTATATTTTTCAACGCGTGGAAGAGCTGCTTAGTTCAACAGTCCAGTCAACCAACCATCAGCGGATATTGGAAGTATGCCAAGCAGCCTATATCATAGAAACCCTCCAGTCTTGTATCAAAGATGCTAAAATACGCCAACGCGTTATTACCAAGTGTCACCCGATGCTTGTGGAGTTGCTAAGAAGCCTTGATATTATGGGAACCAGACATGGATTGTTAGAATCAGAGCAGGATTGGCAGAAGTTTGTGTACAAAGAATCCTGCATTAGGCTCGTTCACTGGGTATTTATTAATGATGCCTGGTTCACACTCTTCTCCAACCATCCTCCTGCCATGACATTATTCGACATGAGCGGCGATCTTCCATGTGAAGATAAGGTTTGGGAAATGAACTGTCCTCCAAGTTTTGAGAGCCTCAGATTGCAACAAGCCTCCAGCCGTAGCTTGCCATGTCTAAAATTACTCATTTCGACACTGCTCGAGGACGAGTGGACAGATAGCGTACTAGCTCTCTACAAGCGGCTAGATATCAGACATTTTCTCGTGATTATTTTCGGTGAGTGTTCCGGATTTCGTCGTAGCATCAAGGGATAATTGCACACGGTAGAACTGACAACATAGCCTTCCAACACGTGATATTCCATTACCACACTTCAATACTCGTCAGTACCAGCTCAGTTATCTTGATTCGTGGCTTAGATCGGTGGAACCAGGCTATGGAACGACGCTACGATCTGCATGCATAATGAAGAGAGAAAGACACTTGGGCTGGTGAAATATTCAACTGAGCTTGCTAATTTATTCAGGAGAATCATTGAAGTCAGTGGGCTCAAGGATGGTATACAGCCGATCTATCTGCAGCGCAGTGTAATGTATGACACGATGGCCCTTTACCAGTTTATTCGGCAATGTGTGAAATGAGTGTCAGCATCTACCTACAATTTTAAGAACAGCGAAAATGGGCAAAGGCGCTTAGGAGGCTTCCTCGTATCAATTTACCTACACTATAGAGACATGGTTGACACCAATGGCTTTACAAAAGAACTCAGTAAATGAGGCCCTGTTGAACTACCATAATTAGATATATTTCCAATGCTGTATTAAGGTGCTCGATAGATCTACGCATCTTTTTAAATTTCGCCTCTACCTAGGTAATACAGGGCAGATACTTACATAACGGGATGTTTTACAAGAACATAAAAATAGAGTCCATAGGGTAATTTCACTAACTGAAGCTTCTGGTCACACATACATCTTCCCAAACATCTATTCTTCGAGACCAACATATATTGGTACGGAAGCCTGCAATGCTGTGTCCATATAACTCTCATTATAAGGATCTGATAAGAGGTACAATAATATTGCCAACTAAATTTCCCTGTATGGAATGACTTCCTGCACCTGCACCCTGACTGCTTGTGTAGGACTCGCTATCCGTTCATAATGCAAATATATCTTCTTATCCTCCAAAGCAAGCACGGGGTGTACGTTGAAAATGCGCCGCCAGCTAGGCACATCCTCACAAGATGCAACGTCAACACCGTCTTCCTCAATAGCAACAATCCGCTCTGCCACCAGCAAGGCCATCTCACTGTCCCACATGCCCTCCCTTCTTCGAAAAGTGCGTAGGGTGTCTATTGCCTTTCGGCGAATTGTCGGATCACGACAGCGCCGTGCGATATCGTAAAGAGGTCCGACGCTGACAAAGTCGAGTGAAAACGATGGTTTTCGCCTTATCAACGAAGAAGCGTCCTCCCAGTCACCCATGGTTGTGAGAATCGACTCTGCAAGCACCACGGCGTCGTTGAACTCGCTGCAGTGGTTGTCCCATACCATTTCTTGTTCGTCAGAAGGTAAGCAGTGTGTGCTCACCTCTAGTGAGATATGACTGAGAAGCTGACGCATACGTAAAATGCGCACCGCATGTCTCTCTTGATCTGTCAGTGAATTGGCGCGTCGGATGAGAAATGCGTCGAACGCATTAGTCCACTGTCGTAGAATATCTATATATGGCTCAGAGGATCCGATTCGAATGTCAAAATCCGCTGGACCGCCCATTATAGGACCCGTTTGTTCATCATTCGTAGATAGGCTGTAGAGTTGACCATAAAACTCTAAATAGTCCTGCGCTTCCGATACGGAGGAGAAAATGGAGGGAATAGTAGGTTCGACTATTTGTGCAGCTTGCGGTGGATATTTGCTGCCGCCTTCAACATGGCCAATTAACTAGGGCAGTCAGTCAGCTGTCACGCCCGGTAAAAGTAGCCTGAGAAAGAATGCTCACCCCGATCGCTTGGACTTGAATGCGGTAGAATTGGCGTTGCAAAAAGTGCAAAAGCGAGTTCGATGTTCCGGGGCTCTGCCCCTCGGTGGACCCGTGCAGAAGACTTAGAGACTTCTGGGCTAAAGATATCGCTGAGGTGAAGTTGGCTCGTAACATCTACACCTTGTCAGTTTACAGATTTCATCAGCCTAACTCATAAGGGAGAGCCGAAACACACCTCTATACACACAAACACTAGACAGGAAACATAGACCTCGACAGTAGCCGGGCCATTTTCACTCTTAAAGCTATCGAAGTGCTTTCTGATCGCTAAATTGTACTGCTCTAGAGCGAACACGCAATTCTCGGCACCGGATTCGAAGTCCTCGTAGAACGAAGCGAGCGCGATGATGGCATGGCGAATGCCCGTATCTACGTACGCGCGTTGGATGACCAGCTGCCCCCAGAAAGCGTGATCGTCGGAGCCGGTGAGGCGTGGACTTGTCCGCACACAGTAGAACTCAAAGGCGCGGCGTTCTCGCTGTGTGCCGCCCAGGGACGCTGAAATCTGCCGCAGAAGCTCTCCCTGGCTGGCTTGGAGCAACTGGCTGTTGTCATGACTGTACCCCAGGCACTGTCGACCGGTCGAACAGCAGTTGTGGCAGGCAGGCTTGGCCTCGTCGCACTTGACGCGGCGGACTATGATATGTCACGATTTTAGCAAAGACGAACAGCATTAGCAGCGAGGCATTGCCTACTCCTGCACGCACTGGACATTAGCAAAACAGTCAATGGTGGGATGTGCAAAGTTTATCAGACGGAGGAGCGTTTCGGGTTTCGGGGGTCGGGGCTCGGAAAACAGAGCACGAACTTGCACGTTTTGCAGCCAGAGCGCGTCTTGGGGCTGTATGCCCGCTGGCGCTCTCCCGGCTTCACTCGAGGCATTGCGTTGGCTTACACTGTTGGGCTGTGTCTGCTAAATCGACGCGGATAGGGAGAGAGCATCGGAACTCGGGAGAGCAGTGGATGTGGAGCGCTGTCCATACGAGAGAAGATAAGCACTAGCCGAACTTTGGCAGCAGAGAACCAATGATACTTTCGAATTTCTACCAGAAGATGACGTGGATCCTTGATGTCCTTACGAGAAGCTTAGACCGAAGAAGTCAAATCCTGTCCAGCTAACAAACCCGGTTGGTTGGGTCTGGCTAATTATGGGCCTCACTACTTCGTACGAACTCATAATACCATGGTTGGTCAGCCTCATTGCCCAAAAATAAATAAGAAGAAAGGAAAAGAAAGAAAAACGGGTGCCTGTCGGCTCGTTCTGCATCTTGATGAATTAGATATAAAGACCCCATGCGATCTAATCAGCAGTCCTGATGCTCTTGATTTCTCTTTTAAGTATCCACCAGACTCTGATTTACGCGCCTACTTGATCACGATAAGCAGGCATCTCAACGCTTACAAACATGGCAGAAACTTGCACGGGTGAGAGACAATGCTTGGCTAGTTAGTTCCTTCGTAGCAATGCTAACAATAGATATTTATATAGCGATCAGCGTCCCAGGGACGTACTGGAGCTTCTGCCCTAATGTGGGTGCCGCCGGCGCATTTCTTGCCTTCTTCCTTTTAGCCTTCTTGGTTCATGTGGCTCAAGGGATCTATCATCGAAAATGGTACACTTGGGTGATTGCGATGGTGAGTCGTGCTGCACGGAATCACTCGCCTCGAGACTAACGAGCCTTGTAGTCAGCCCTCTGGCAGACAATCACATACATCCTCCGAATCGTCAGCATTAAGACTCCTGCGAGCTTGGGCGACTATGCTGGGTGGTTCGTCTTGATCCTCGTCGCACCACTCTGGACCAACGCTTTTGTATACATGGTGTTTGGACGCATGGTCTGGAACTACGTCCCCGATGCGAGTATCCGTGGGATACGCGCTTGGAAATTTGGCATGTACTTTGTCGTGCTTGACATCATGTAAGACGCCACTCACCCAAACAGAACGTCACGGCAGCGTAAGTTGAATGTGTTAAGCTAACGAACCTTAGCGCCTTCATAATCCAAGTCTCTGGCGCTGCCTCTGCCGAGAGTAGCAACACTGAAACTGTCGCGCAAACATTGCAAGGTACGCAAGCACAGTGATAGATGCATCGAACCCTCGAGTTAATGCTTTATAGGTATTCACATCTACATGGGCGGTGTCGCACTCCAGCAAGTTTTCATCTTCGTCTTCTGCTACTTCGCATATGAGCTTTGGCATTCGCTGCACAAACAGCAGAAGAGCGGCATAAAGGTTTCGACTGCGTCTCCGAATCTAAGTATTCAGTCTGGATTAGTCCTCTTGTATGCCTTGGGAATGGTGCTGGTTCTGATTACAGTGTGTAACCCTCTCTTCTTTGGCGGTTAATTATTGTTACTAACAAGACCGTCTTTACTATAGCTACGAATCCTTTTCCGTCTCGCAGAATATGCCCACGGTCTCACTTCGACTATCCCAAATCATGAAGCGTACCAATACTGTCTCGATTCACTGCCCATGTTACTCGCGTTCGTCATTCTGAGTGTCGTGCATCCTGGTTCGATCATGAAGGGTCCGGAGTGCGAGATCCCGTCCAGGAAAAAGAGAAAGGCAAGTGGAATAATGTGCAAGAAGGATGTTGTTGATGATGATAGGTTGCATGAAATTTGTTAGCATATAAAAGAGCCATGGCATGATATTTTACGAAATTTTATTTGTTTAGATTACATACGGAATTGATCTCGTGTACATAATTAACTATCAAGCGCCTCGCGTCGTCCGAGGGATTCACGATCCAAGACAAAAAAAGTATACTACCTACTATAGGGCCCATTGACTGCTTTAGCAATCACACGAAATCGTGTTTAAAGTCGTGGGTACAAAGTGTTAGCCTTGTATTTGAGCAGTTGAGACATTTGTAATCGACTTTTCTTCGCGATCTGGATACTGATTCTGACCGTCGCTTGACAGCAAGCTTTTGCCATATTCCAGTGCTACTTTCACCAGCCAGTTTCAATTCACTTTTCATTCTGCACAGAGTGTCTTTCGTGGCAGAATATTGGACCAACTTCATGTTCCTGGGCCATGTCAGGCCCAACTCTTCCACCCTGCAATGATGGCTGTGCCAGTCTCGCATCCTTTTCAGCCACCCCGTGGTCCTGGATTAGAACCGCACAGATACAACAAAGGATAAGAAGAGGCGTGAATATAAGAAATACCACATGCAGGCCATCCATATATGCTGTAATCACATGCCCAGTCTGAGACGGGGTCAGGTTATATGAGGAGAGAGAATAGGTGGAAGATGAAAGTTGTGCGATGATGTTGGATGGAATAATACCCTGAAGACGGGATTCCAGGACATTATTAAGAATTGTTCCCGATACTATGTTGTGTTCCATCAGCATCACGAACAGGATCCTCGAAGCCTACGGAAAGGGTCGGAATAAACGAACCTGTCAACCCTACAGAGCCACCCGTTATACGCACGAAATTACGCAGTGAATTAGCCACAGCTCGGTCCGCCTTTCGAGAGTGCGCAAGGAGGGCAACCAGGCTAGCTATATATTATTCGGTTAGTCCCAAGGCAGACTCAAAGATAGGCCAGTACTCACGTTGGAATGTACATCCGATTCCGATGCCCTCAAAAAGCCCAATCAGGCATATCGCCCACACTGGTGTGGTGCTGTTGTACATTATCTGCAGTGCGACACCGACTAACCAAACAATATTTGCTACGAGAATGATCACTTTATAATGGCCAGTTCGCGAGATGGCCTGGCCAGAAATCAAGGAGCCGAATCCTTGAGACATGACCATTGGCAGGATGACCGCACCGGATTTTATCGGCGTATACCCGCGCACATTCTGCAAGTATAGCGGTACGTAGAATATGTTGGAGTAGTACACAATGCCCTGCATTGTGGCCATGACGAATATGAGGTTCGCGGAGTAATCACTCTGGAACAGGCGTACTGTATCATAGCACTACATGTTAAAGCTTGTAAAACACAAAAGGAGACCAAGGGAAAGGCTTACTCGGCATTATCGGCAGTCTGGATAGCTTCCATTCAACCAGAACAAACGTAATAGCCAGTATGCCACCTATGGTTAACATGAGGATTACGGGGACACTGTTCCATGCCCATAACGAACCACTTTGAGAAATAGGGACCTAGAAGCAAGAGGATCACAGATAAATACAACATCCCTGCAGGAACACAAATGCCTATCAGACTCACCAATGTAAGCACCACAGCAGCAATACTGACGCATAGCCCAAGCCAGTCAACCATGCGGAACTTGGCCCAGGCATTGCCCTTCACATTAGACGGTGGGACAACTAAGCCAATAACAATTGCGGATATGACTATGAGTGGTACTATAGACCAGAAGCACCAGCGCCAGGTGACTTTCTCAGCAAAGACACCGCCAATTATTGGACCAAGCCCGTTTCCAAGGGCATTCATGGCCCCAATAAACCCATTATACCGTCCTCTTTGCTCCAAAGTCGTGATATCACTTGCAATGATCATTACAAGTGCTGTTCTTGAAGATATTAGCACGTTGCATGTCATCAAACTTTGGTGAAGGTAGCAACTCGAAATTTGAGAGCTTACAATGCGCCTCCACCCAATCCTGCCAAAGTGCGAAAGGCAAACAGCATGCTTGAATTCTGTGCGAAGCCTGCGCACAAATCGGACACCGCCAGAACACTTATGCAAGTGAGGAGCAGAGATTTGCGGCCAAAAATATCACTCAGCCGCCCGTTAATGAGTTGAATGCTGGAGCTTGCAATCAGAAAGCTCGTAGCTACCCAGGACATTGACGCGCCCAAGTTCAGGTCAGAGCTGATAGCAGGCAAGGCAGTTGAGACCATAGTTTGGTCTAGAAATGCAATCATTTCTGCCATGGCAATGCTCGGGAAAACCACCATTAGCTTTCTATGCGGCAGGACGTGGTCCTGTTGATCCTCAAATGTTTCCAGTGTTGGGGAGTCTTTTTTACTTTCAGCAGCATTAGTTGGCTCATTGTGTCTTTCTCTTGTCGACAGGGTTAATGCAGACGAGGAGGAAAGCCTCTCGGTCGTCGAAGGTAGTCCCATGATCTTCATTTCTGCTAAAGAGAAAAGAACGGGGGAAAGAAAAATCAACAAATCCGGACAGAGAAGTCGAATCAAATTTGGATTTCACATGAATCGGAATAAGATAGAAGAGATAAATTGAAACTATCGACTTGAAAAGCAAGAACAGCTCCACAGCTCAGAGATACTCGGCAACAAATGATCCAAGTAGCCAAGTAGCACCCAAAGCCTTGATGAATGCCTATGTATCCAAGTTGCAGTGCAAATCAGGTGTACCATCTTCTTTTGACTAAGAGCTAATTTTATGCAACAAGGTACGAGAATTAGCAATTATACGGCCGTAATTCTAATAGCATCGAGGAAAGACGCCGTACCACACACGGAACTATTATATGCTTTGGTTACCTAACATAATCATTACCTTTAATGCAAGCGGCGTAGCAGTTTTTCGTCGTAATGCATACCTTTGTAGAACCAAGAAATTGGTCAAAGTGACTGAAGAACATCGCAATGTCTCGTCATCTAATTCGCGCAACCAATTGATGTTCCTGAAATAGCACGTCAGTCTTCAATAGTCGACCTGCAGCTGCGAGTGTTCGGCAAGCTCAAGGAGTGTAGGGATGCGGCATACCAAACACTCAAATCCCTGTAAATTACGAAAGCTCACGCAATGGCATGACACCCGCACGTATAGACTAGTGTGGTTGGGTTCTGAGTTGCTATAGAGATTGATCACCAGTACACTTCTGCACGCAAAACCGTGTCTTTATGTATCGAAATAGATTACAAATTGGTTAACCGTCCTTTTTTCCCCTCAAGAGAACTATCAAAAGCTGGTAGCAAAGAAGAAATAACGCAAAGCTTCGAAGTCTCCATTATTTAAAAAGCAACCAGAAAACAGTAAAGAACGAACAGTTTAGCAAGATATAGCTATGGCTTCACGTTCTGCTACTTCCGCGTTCTCGAATCTCAGCTTTATCCCTCTTGACCCTCACTATACCCTCAAGAAGATTTTCGCAGCCGATGACCATGAAAAGAAAGTCATCCTAGGATCTGGAATTTACCGAGACGACAATTCTCAGCCGTGGGTGTTGCCTAGTATCAAGAAAGTGAGTGAGCATGATCCTGCGACACGTTCCTGAAAATAGGTGCAATTGACAAGAAAAACCCAACAGGCTGAAGGGTATGTCGACAATGGGCAGAACCCAGGTCGATATGAGTATCTACCCATTACAGGGTACGCACCATTCCACCATGCTGCTCGCGATCTTCTGTTTGGTCCCTTGAATGTCAGCACAGAGCACTTTGTGTCATTGCAGACACTTGCTGGTACTGGAGCGAACAGTCTTGGAGCTCGCTTTCTCAAAGAATCATTGAATCCATCCGCAGTGTGGCTATCTGATCCGACATGGGTGAATCACCATAATATTTGGAGCTTGGTCGGTGTTGAGATCAAGACCTATCCTTATTGGAACGCCGTGAATAGAGGACTAGACTTTGATAATCTGATACACACGTTGAAGACGCGTGCTACCAAGGGAGACGTCATTGTTTTACATGCATGTGCTCATAATCCGACTGGAGTTGATCCCAGCAAGGAACAGTGGAAGACGATTGCAGACGTGTGTGAGCAGAAAGGGCTCTTCCCATTTTTTGACTGTGCTTAGTGAGTATATCCTTTGATACGGGAATAGAATATAATATAATTACTAATATCCTCTGTTAGCCTAGGATTTGCAAGTGGCGACCTGGACGAGGATGCATGGGCCGTGAGACATTTTTTGTCTCGGGGAACACTAGAACTTGCAGTGGCTCAGTCCTTCTCGAAAAATATGGGTCTTTATGGCGAGAGAGTCGGCGCATTCCATCTTTCAACTTTCTCTGCCGAAGCAGCAACGAAGGCACAAGGCCACCTTGCCCGTTTACAGCGCGGTCAAATTTCTACTCCGCCTTCAAGAGGCGCCAGGATCGCTACAACCATTCTTGCGACTCCCAGTTTATACCAGGAATGGCTTCTAGATCTGCAAGAGATGACCTCTCGCATCCAAGGCATGCGCAGGTTACTTCGTGACAATTTGGTTTCCCTTGGGACACCTGGAAATTGGGACCATATTTGTTCACAAGTAGGACACTCACTTCACAACGTTTTTGCGAGAGAATTTTACAAAGCTGAGAGTGATTCTAACGAGAATTGTTAGATAGGAATGTTTTCTTACACTGGCTTGTCTCCTGAGCAGGTGGATATCATTCGGACTGATCACCATGTTTATGTACTGAGAACCGGGCGTATATCAATTGCTGGCTGTGAGCGTCGTCCCCCCTTCAGAAAAGCCGCCGGTATTGTTTCTAACTACAATGTCGATAGTAACCACGGCAAATGTCGCGCATGTAGCGAAGGCAATGGACGCCGCTGTCTGGAAGTCACCTAATTAGACCATACTGTATTGTTGTCGTTTTAGTTACACTTGTGTTCAAAGTAGGAGGTAGTCAATGAGAGTCGAGACTGGCCAGACACAATACTAAACAAGACTTTCAATATCCACAAATATGATGCAATGTGCATAATTATCTACCTTCATTTGGTTTGATTTTTCGTTCTTTTACTTTCACCAGACGTACACGGTATACTGTTCCCTCAATCAGCTTGCATGCATAATATCATTTGCTATCCTTGTAACTTCACGCGGAGTCAAGCTAGACCTTCAAGTCTTAGTAAGGAACATGAAATGTAACTTTAACATTCGCAACGGATTTTATAGCAGCTAAAATTTATCAAGATACATCATACATGACTGGAATTTCATCATCGGCTTGGCTGAGCTGATTTGAAAACCATGGAGGGTGAGAGCGTTTTGTTGAATTGAAAGTCGTTACCGCTTCTTTCTAGGGTTGATCCGGGAGTTGAGTATTCCCAATTTTGTAAAGCTGAATATCTTTTTGACGTATAAATACAGGCTTGGAACCGTGTTGCCTTTCTAGGATCTCACTTCTAAATCTACTGTCTCTAGTATCAAGAATCATCCAGTTTAACTATCTATCAACTTTCTCCTTTCTACTTTCGAGTGTACAACAGCGCCTATCTGCAGAATGGAGATTGCTACAAAGTTCAAGATCTACATCCTGGATCCGTATCACCCTGATGCCATTGACCTGGCGTTAAAAACACGAAATGCCGAGATAATCTTGCCTGGGGATCCACGAACAGCGAACTGGCATGCTGACGCCGACGGACTCATGATCAGGTCCGACTCGACCCTCACAGAGGAGGATTTCGCCAAGGCCCTTCGGCTCAAGGTGGTTGTCAAGCAGGGTGTCGGCGTTGACAACATCGATTTGGCCGGGGCCAAGAAGCATGGTATTGCAGTGCATAATACGCCTGCATTCAACAGTGAGAGTGTTGCTGAACTCTCCCTAACACTGACACTAGCGCTGAGCCGACGTGTCACTGAAATTGACCGCGCAGTCCGTGGTGGTACCACGGTTATCCGCTCCCAAGTGCTGGGGACCAGCATGTTTCGGAAAACTGTCGGCATAGTAGGCATGGGGAATATTGGTCGTATCATTGGGCAGAAATGGACCGGTGCCTTTGAATGTTCTCTTGTTGCTTACGACCCTTATGCCCCTTCAGATGCTTGGGGGGAGATTGCGCATAGCCGTACCACCCAGCTGCATGATTTGCTTGGTGTGGCTGACGTGGTCACACTGCATGTGCCGTTAGTTGACTCTACACGAAAACTTATTGGCGCTCCTGAAATTAAGGCTATGAAGAAGACCGCATTCCTAATAAATTGTTCGCGAGGGGGTGTTGTTGACGAGAACGCATTGCTTGATGCTCTAGTCAACAAACAGATTGGTGGCGCCGCTCTGGATACGACTGAAATTGAGCCACCGACTCTAATTACGTACAAAAAGTTCCTTGAACATGAAAACGTGATTATTACTCCGCATATTGGTGGCAGTACTCAGGAGAATCAAAGTCGCAACGGCTGCTTTGTTGTGGAATCCCTGTTCAAGGCCTTGGAGGGCAAGTGGGCTGATGGAAAGTTAGTATAACTATAGGATGCATGTGCCATCAATTTCAATTACAAGGCAATGCATAAACAGACAATGGTTCATATGCTAGCACGAATTCTTCGAGCTTCTTGTAAATTCCTAAATGTCTCCTAGTGTGGAAACCGAGCAAAATCAGAGATGGCGTCCATTGGGGCTAGAAGCACATGTTCCTAAGCGCATTAGCTAACAGAATGAGTTTACAGATATCTTGTTTACTTCATACTCCAACGTACATAAGGCAAGATCTTGCCAGATTTCTCTACCTAGTTGTGATCATTGGCTTCAACAGCTGAGGTATATCGCGGAGACACTGAACAATCCATGATATTCTGCAAATTGGTACAGAATCGATGGAGGACCGTGTCAATTATACCTTGACATATGATATTCATTACGTAAATACGAGGTCCTGAATTCTAGCTTGCAGTGCCTTTTGGAGTGTGTAAAGTGCAATCATTGCTTGCATCCGCTCTGACAGGGGTATTGCACACTTGCAGGGGTGTCGTGACAATGCAGATCTTACTCTGGACTTGGCTTCATTGGCTTTAGCAATAGTGTCTCAGCTTGAAGCACAGATTTTTGAGCACAGATTTCATCATAGCTATAGCGTATACCGTCAGAGATGCTCGATATTACTTCATTTGTAATGTGCACGATTGCTTGATATACCAAGTTGCCAAAATGAAAACCCCCCTCCCCGCCCAATTTCGCACAGTAATACGCCATTAAGAAAGTAGATTTCTAATAACTAATAATAGCAAAGTAATGTGTCCGTTTACTAGAGAGCCCAGATAGAGCTGTGGTAGCATGCAACTCACTCTTTTTCTCCCGCTCGTCGCAATCCGTTTGACCTAACACCGAATCACATCATTATGTTAAAAGTATTCGATATATGGTTATTCTTGGTAGTAATCTGCATATTTTCTTTATGCTTTTATTTTCGTATTAAATAGTATAACAGAAGTTACCTCTCCTCCTGGTCATCTATTCACTGTTATAAGGCACTCGCATTAGATGGACAAGGCATCAGTCATGGCCACTCAGACTTTGCCTATGGCTCTTCCAAATCAGGGAGTTGTAGCCACCAACGTCATTGGTGAGTATGTTGTACATATCAATTAATTCCGTACTGACCGCATTTTACACAGCGGGTGGGATTGCTGGCATGTGTGAAGCCCTTGCGTGTCATCCATTGGGTATACTACTTACCTTTGCGAATTGCAAGTTCTTGTATTGATTGCCGACTTTGAGTAGATACAATCAAAGTGAACATGCAGTTGTCAAAGCAACCTGTGCAGCAAAGGGTGAGTACGTGTCACTACGAATCTATATGTTGCTAGGCTCACCAGTCATAGACTGTAGTTTCCAATCTCCTCATCACTGCTAGCACAATAATTAGCGACGAGGGTGTCACAGGCCTATACCGAGGCCTTGGGGTTGTCATGGGGGGCATTGTTCCCAAAATGGCGATTCGATTCACCTCATACGAATGTTATAAACAAATGCTCACCAACAAAGATAGTCTGCAAATATCACGTCAAGGAACTTTTATTGGTGTGTTTACGACCCCTTTGGTTCTTGTTGGGCTATGGTTCATTTGATAATCCAAGAAATCAACATTCAAGGCGCGTTTGAACTTTGTTACTGACGCATAAGCAAAAATAATATAGCTGGTTTGGCTGCAGGCGTCACCGAAGCCGTTTCTGTTGTTAATCCTGTTGAAGTCGTCAAGATTCGGCTACAGGCGCAGAATGCCCAGTTACGAGTCTCACCCCAGATACCAACTAGCTTAAAGCAGCAAAATAGTACTCTCCATACCGTGGTCACAATCATGCGTGTTGAGGGCATCAGCTCCTTGTACCGTGGTGTAGTTTTGACAGCACTGCGACAGGGTACAAACCAAGCCGCCAACTTCACAGTGTACAACGAGCTCAAGATGCTATTGACACAAGATCGAGACTCAAGGATGCTGCACAAACATAGAAATTCAACTAATACTTCTACAACAAGCGAGATCCCTCCCTACCAAACCACCATAATTGGTCTAATTGCCGGCGCCGTAGGTCCGTTTTTCAACGCTCCGATTGACACCATCAAAACGAGACTTCAGCAATCAACCGTCGTTTCTAGAGGGAGTTCTCTAGGTCAAGTTTTTAGAATCACCTCAGAGACTGTTCAGCAGGAGGGTTTTGGCGCGCTTTATAAAGGCATCACCCCGCGAGTCATGCGTGTTGCACCGGGGCAAGCCGTGACTTTTACCGTATATGAGTTTGTCAAATCCAAAATTTCTTGTCAATGAAAGTATACTCTGCAGGAAGACAAGATGTAACTTGTGCTCACTTTGTGATCATAGTACAGCTTTTACTTCTCTCGAGCAGTCTTTATTTCAAAGTTCGTCTGTATTTGCCTTATCGATAGTCCACTTTTCGTACAGTTCAACTGGAACGATAATCTCGCCTAGTTCAAGATTTAATATGAGCATGTGTCTTACCGGAGATCGCATGTTAGTGACGGTCAACCGACTTGTAGACACGGTAGTATTGCTAGCGCGAACGCGTATAGAACAGAGATTCTGCGACCTGTTGCTAAATTAGGTGATGTGGAAATACGAGAAAGAGTACGTTAATGCAGACTCGTACGGAGCGCAATAAGAAGGTAGTCGGGGCGATTTCTTTGGGGAGTTAACTGTACGTGTATGATTCTGTAGCTGTTCTTGCGTCTTTTTATATTCCAATTTTTTATGCTTGGCATGCCCAATCCTGCTAGGTTCAATTATGTGGATCTATGTCCGGTTTGTCAAGTTATGATGCCGGTACATACAGCCTAATAAAAGGTATGGAAACGTATATTGAGGCTTTTTGGCAATTTAGTCTATCATAATGTAGAGCGACGATACAAGCGGCTGGGAAACACCGACTCGTTCTCCGACCCCGACCCCGACCCCGACTCCGACTCCGACACTTTGGATATTCGCACTCAACTCGGGGTTCAAATCGGAGTAAGCTGACAGTCAAAAGGTATTGTAGACTGCAGTTCTTGGGATTGTGGACAATCATATGAAATGTCGAATCTGATTCTATATAAACCAAGATTCCACTTTGGATTCTGTCTTAACGTCGGAAATATTGAAACTAAGAGAAAAGCACCTTAGTCGCGATCCTTCAAACTGAACATTTTCCAGCTTTTGGACACAGAAAAAAAAGAAGGCAGAAGACAAGTTCATGATGACAAGTTCAGAAATTCCTTCAACGAGGACAGCGCTTGTCAAGACCGTCGCCGGTCAGGCTGTCATAACCAAGCAACCCATGCCGGCCCTAAAGCCTGGATATATGCTCGTCCAAACAAAAGCTGTCGCTCTGAACCCTGCCGACGCGAGTGATATTGATTATGCTGGAGACGCAACTTTGCCATTACCTGCCGGAATTTCTCCTAGTCAAAGCCGGTACGAAGGGTGCATCCCGGGCATCGACTACGCGGGCATCGTTGTGCAAGTCATGCCACGCCTAGAGACCAACGCTTCGGAGAATCACCATACTGCTTATTTGAAGTCATTCAACCCGGGCGACCGAGTGTGTGGCCTTGCCTATGGATGCAATGCACTGAGTCCGGATCAGGGCGCTTTTGCTGATTACATTGTTGTCAGCACCGATCTGCAGATGCACATGCCGGAGCATATGAGTTTCGAGGAAGCGGCGAGCTTAGGAGTCGGTGTGTTAGCGGCTGGAATGGGATTGTTCCGAGTTAGCAAACTCGGGATTCCGTCTAATATATGGAATACTATTTCGGATGACACTGTTCGGTCCAAGGCCGACGAGGACAACAGTGTCGATAATCCAGAATGGATTTTGGTGTATGGTGGTTCGACGGCAACAGGGAGTATTGCCATACAATTTGCCAAACTGTACGTCATTCGTTCTTTTTGGATTTACCCCTCGATTTTGCAGATTTTTGGCTGAGTCTATTGACGTTTATAAACTAATATCTTGTTAGAGCTGGATATAAAGTTGTAACGACATGCTCTCCACACAACTTTGAACTCGTCAAACGTGTCGGTGCTGATGCTGTGTTTGATTACGTGTGTTTTTCTCTTCTGTCACAGTTCCGCGAATCTGCATCACTTCAATGGCTAATACAAGAAATGTGTTTACAGAAAAACGCAGAAATATCATCACTTATCAGGACGGTTACTTCGGATACCCTTCACTTCGTTTTTGACGCCGTAGCTACCGATGAGACAGCTGCAATTTGTGTCAATTCGTTAGCCTCAACCAACAAAGGCTTCAAATTCGAAAGTCCAGCTTTATATATTTCACTTCTCGACCCGAAGCTACCAGAAGTTGCACCTGTAGCTGTGGAAAAACGGTTCTTTCTAGGCTACTCGTGCTGGGGTTCTGATTATTACTTTGCAGGAATGGTGCTACCTGCCGTCCTCGAGGATTACTGGTTCGCTGTTGAAATCACCAGTCTAGCTGAGATTTTACTCGCGAAAGGTAAACTAAGAAACCACCCCATAAGTGTGAATGAGAACGTCTCAAAGCAGGGGGGACTGCAAGGGGTTTTGCTAGGGTTGGATCTTTTGAGGAATGGTGTTGTGAGCGGGCGTAAATTAGTGTATAGCATGTAAATATTTGCTCAACGAGAACGGAAACTTCCAAGATTGTTGCTGTGTGTCTGAAAAGTCTAACACAGGTAACAGGTACCTTAGGTACTAGGTAGTGCAAGTAGATAACTGCGTGGTTGATATTAGATACATATATGCCTACATTTTTCACATATGAAGATTAATGCACTTTAGATTTGCTTTTCATATACATGGACGAGTTCAGTCTCTTCGGATGTCAAAAATATGATGCTAGTTAACATCTCTACTAAAAAATAGCGAGGTTAAATTCGTGGAGGTGCTATAGCACTCTCATGAATGGTGAATTTTGAGATCCATGAACAGGGATTTTACCATACCTGATCTACTATTGGTGTTCAGGCTTCTTCACTATGTAGAATCTAAACATTGAACAGTGAACTGTGTATACTTTAGCTCATAGTTTTTGAACCTCATTGAGTACGGATCTTTTGTGGAGTCGTGAGGTCTTGTTGAACGGGTTGGCCAGGAGATATAGCTAACAAGCTAAAATTGTGTTATGTGTGAGTTAAAGCAAGCAGTTCTTTGACGACCCGAAATTATGTTTTGATATAACTATAGTATGCTGTTAAACTTACGTCAATCCAACAAAATGTAATAGCATGCAAGTCGGTATCTCTATGGCTCCTGGGACCACGATCATTTTTCTGATAAAAACTAGTCTGATAGTAATGCTAACGTGCTATATTATGATATGAAGAGTTCAAGCTGGATCTGCTCGATTATGATAAAGAAAAGTCCCATAACATTTCCGAGTATTGTTTAGTTGATGAAACGGATACATTGGCAAGGGCGTGATAGAATGGAGGCGACTTGAAATTTTGCCAAGTTGGCCCTATTGCATTGCATTGTCTGGGAACATCTACTTGTAATGTCATTGACTCTCTCATGTATCGATAGTCTATTGGTAGCTAGTCGCAATTAGCTGTCCGGAATCTTATAATCGGCTGCATCTACCCCGGTTTTCCATCGATATTTGGCTCCAGGATGATCTGTGGGCAGTCGGTTTTCTCCTGCGATGCCGTAAAAGTTCTCGCGATATGTTCCTCCTTTGACGGTGTAATCGTCCCAGAAAAGGCCTCGACGGCGCAGCTCCGGGAGAAGCAGCTCTGCAATTTCCGTATATGTTCCCGGCTTGATGGCATAAGACTTGAATGTCAAGTGGTTAGTGGTTGAGTTTTTGTTATTATTTCACCAAAACCAGCAATGCAAGGAGAGAGAGGGAAGAAAAAACACAAACACACGCCCCCCTTCTCCCCCTCCTCCGGAATAGGAAAATAATCTCTAACTTACAAAGCTGAAACCATCCAAATCTGCAACCTCCACCCATCGTTCTGACTCATCAGCAACTTGCTTTGCGGTGCCAACTATGGTAGCACAGAGACCGCCAACAACGATTTGCTCTGCCAATGTTATCTTCGTCCACTTCTCCACCCCGGGACAGGACTTCGACCAGCCCTCAACAATGGACCTGATTCCGTTGCTTTCTACGTATCATAGTTCCTCATCGTCCCCATACTTACTGAGATCAATTCCAGTCCGGCCACCAAACAATGCTAAGGCACCTTCCCGTGATCCAAGGCCAATGAACTCACGATGTTTCTCATGGGCTTCTTGCTCTGTTCGGCCAATTACAGGGCAGACGAGAGCGAGAAACTTCAAGTTCCGAGGATCACGGTGAAATTCCCTTTGTGCCATTGACCGAATGTCAGCAATGTTCGGGGTGAGCATTTCAGGTGAGTGACCGGAAACAAAGACGGCCTCGGCATGTTTCACGGCAAATGCTTTTCCTGCCTTGGAGGTGCCAGCTTGCAATAGAACAGGGGTTCTTTGAGGAGTGGGATTGCATATATGAGGACCTGGAACGCTGTAGTATCTCCCAACGTGGTTGATTTCTCGCACTCGTGCTGGGTCGGAAAAGATACCCCTCTCGCGGTCATAGACAACTGCATCGTCACGCCAAGAAGACTCCGACAGCTTGTACATGACTTCCATATACTCCTCGGCAATGACATAACGCTCACCGTGCTTGGATGAATTAGTTTTAGCTCATGCCGTACACGTTGGTGGAATAAGGGATACGTGTCGAAGGCTGCGCGGTATACCTTATGCCGTGTTCAGAGGAAGGTTACGGTCAAAGAAGGCGTAAAGTATCCTCCCATAACAGTTCACCCTATACCGTCTTCGGGAAGCTGTTGTGGAAGAATCTTCCGAAAGAGATCCCTTTTCCTTTGCTGTTTTGTTCTTACGAAATCCCCATTATTTTAGTCGTGTATCATCCATCTTCGGCCTGACCTATGTTAACTCTATCCCAACTGGTTGGAGAGTATACTTACCATTTTTCAAATGGATAAATCAGCCTCATTATATTGATAAGATCCTGTTTCATGCGTTCCTCGTCGATGTCTATCCAATAGATGGTTTCTTTAATGCTCTCCCACTCTTGATCAAACGGTGGATCCCTGTTACCGTGAGTCGGTGTAGATTGAAAACACCAATCCGCTTGATATGCCATCACGGGCGAATTCCTATCAGCAAAATCACACAGAACAGCTGCAGATGAAGGCTTCGTCTAAGAGCTCGTCAGTTGAAAATCGCCTAGATTTTGATGATGGGACTAGCTGCATGTCACCATGAGATATCCAAGTATTACCTGAAATCTTTTTATTTTGACGGATCTAACTTTGATGCGCATCACGGGCACAGTCTGCATACCGTAGTACAAACGATCAGACTCAGCCCACATACGTACAAATGGAATTTCTTTGTTCTGCTGGTCAGATATGCAGTAAATTACTGTCACCGAAATAATCGGCCTAGCAGGAAGTGTGTTAAGGTTGGGCTGATTGGTTAGGGAATAACAAGTTTATGGTAAAGCCATCAGGTTGTCTTGTGATACACGCAGATCTCTTGAAAGATCGTAGATGTTGTCGCAAGATCGTTTCAATTGGTCAAAGATATGTTGAAATTCTTAAAATTCCACGCAGGACATTATGCAGGGATCTTTAATGCAGGTGTCCGTTTTTGGCAGAGGCTGCAGTGAACCTCATCCAATCTTACTGACCTGTCCGAAGTTAGGTAGGGCACTGATAAGGAAATTCTATTGTGTTCTGGAGTAAATAAATCTTCTTAACCCACTGGCATTCAACATGACTATTTGCAGATAGCACCAAGGACTTGTCTATAAATACTTCCAAGGTTCCAACGTTCATGGCATCGTTCAAGGATTCCTCTACCACAACCACAACCACAACCAAAAGCATATCATACTCTTCGGTTGACTGTTACAGCACTATAGCAACTTGAAAAGCCGAGTTGAAAAACTGATCATTATGCCTGTGAGGAAGAAAAGCCGTGAAATATACGACGAAGGCTGACATTTGAAGGACGCTCCGAACACTACTGCTCTCTGTCACACAGGGTCGAGCGGGGGCAAGCTTTGCATTACATACACTTCAGGTAATGGCGGAAAGAAATAAGCAGTCAGTGTGTCTACTCTATCCTCATATCTAGAAGTGCTGATTTACTTACCATGATTATGTTTCCTAGTCGAGATCCGGATGAAACAATATAAGAGCTATCAAGCGATGTCTATGCATGGCTTTTGTCTTGGCTTCAACTTGGATTATGATGTTAAAAGCTCCTATACTGTGCCATAGGATATGTGTGAATCATGAAGTTGAGAGCATTATTGCATACCTATATTTTTTACTCTAGGTTAAGGCATATCAAAGACTGCAGGTTTATCCAGTATCTTATATAATAGCTTTTCAATTCGGCTGCTGTTTGCCCAATCTTCATTAGATCAATCATTTACATTCTAACTGACTATACAGAGTTAAGTAATTCGGATTCTGGAGTGCTCTACTTAGATGTCCTGACTAACGAACGGCGAATAGAAGCCTTATTCCTATACATACCAAAGGTAGACTAGTATAATTACAAGAATTTAATCAAATTAATGCGAGCTATTGTGAAGACACTTATAATTCATCTTGCTCGAAACTTCTGCAAAGCGTTCCATCAAGAAGTCTATGGGCCACGTGGGACTTAGGGCTTCGTCCAACCAAGTGTATGCAGACCAGAGAGGACGACCAAATTTCACCATATGTTGTATTGAGACTGAATGTATCATATTTTCTTCTTTCGTTCTAAAGTCTCTGCTGCCTCACAAAGTAATTCAGCACAAGATATCAGCTTCCACAATTAACACTTTTTTGAAGACGTTCAATGTTTACGCGGAGGCCTTCGGTCAGAAGATATTAGAAGATATCCTTGTTTATGTATTGGTATTTAACGAACTATCAAAAACTACGAAATAGACTACTGCACCATAAACCGAGGTCCCGTTACAAGCTTGTCTTTGGTACACAATAGGGACTTCAATCATCGAGCGTTATGGGCCAGGTCGACGGCCATTTCCTCCACTTCCGCTTCGGGTTACTCAGACGCTTGATTTCCGTAGTTGCGGACGTTGTGTAATTTATCGCAATGATGCTTGACTTCGATTGGTCTGTCTGAGAAGTCTACCGCGCCCTTGAAGAAGGCGCGGACATGCGTAGTCGCTCTCATTGCGCCGATACAACCGAAACGATTTTCGTCGTTACTCTTTGAGTGAATGGCAATTGACGGCTTTTGCTGAAGGATACTTCTACGGAAGCGAGATCGGCCCCCGTCCCAAAATTGAAGGGGCTGTTCCTCGGCGGCGAATAAATCCTCATTGAAGATTGTACTGTGGTAATCGCCAGTCCTTGATATTGCTCACTAGGATGCGTATCTGGAGACAATACTGAAGACGAGGAAGGAAGGAGAGAAGGAAAAACGCGCTTCCCCCGTACGCTGGATATTTGTATGGCTCTGTGACAGGCCCCTTCCCTAACTAGGCCCTGCCTGAAGCTATTCCCAAAACCAGTACCGCTCAGGGCTCCATGTTCTATCATGAGATGCGGCGGGATTTGCCGTTGTGGCTCCTAGTTGGGCCTCGCCAAGTCCAAGCGTACATTCAACCGTCACAGTACTGAGTCCTTTCTCATCTTGACCTGTACGAGAAAGGCGCCCACCCTCGCCACGTCAAAAGGCCTGTCCGGATCTCCAGTATAGAACGGAAGTAGGTGGTCGTAAGACTTCTGTAGTGGAGTCAACTGCAAAGCCGAAGGACGTGCCCTAACTTCCGCTTTAGGAAACCAACCAACGGCCAGACAATGTCGTAACTTTCATCAAGTTTCCTCAGCGCGATACCTAGAGTCCCAATAGATATGTTTGGGGAAAAAAGTCTGAAGAATCCACAAATGTCGAAACACTTTGGTTTCAAATAGTCACATGTCGAGATTATTGATCATTGAGTCTAGCAGATGCCGATGCCTAAAATTAACTGATACGTCTACTTCAACCTCGTAACGACAAAATTGAGCGCCTTATCCCCAGGCTCCATCCACCTATTATCCTCAGGATCCCAACCCATCTCCTCAAAGGACAACAATTTGCCCTCTGTCTTCCACGCCGTGCCTGTCTCAGCCCCAACCTGATCCCAGAATTTTGCAAACGACTCTGGCGTGTGTCTCCAATGATGCAATTGCAGTGCTTTATTCCATATCTGCTTGGCTTCAACATTTCCAATCTGATAACCAACTACCAAAGCATCTGGTCCTTTCGTTAAAGCAGCCACTTTTTTTGCAGCTTTTATTTGATCCTCCCAGTCCCATTGGTGAAGCACTGCCGAAATTGAGACAATGTCTGCTGTGCCGCAAAGGGCTTGTAAGGGTGTGGTTTCACCACTACCAGCATCAGGATCTTCGTTGATCGAGAGCATGTCGCCTTCAATAAAATGCGCTTTGAACGTATCCTGGTCACGATAGAGAGCGAAGCCCACGTCCCAGTGACTGACAATGTCGACTCCGTACAGATTCTCCGTGGGCGCACCGTCAAATGCGAGACGGCGTAGATCGCTGCCAAGAAAACAGCCAATATCAATCAGTCTTTCACCACTACCGCCGTTGGAGGTGCCTTTCAGACGTTCGAGAAGTGTGGGATAGGCTGGAAGGGTTGAAATGAATGGCACAAGCCAGACCCCTAGTCCAGTGCAAGGATAGGAGCGAATAGCCCACGCTTGGTCACGCTATAAAAGGGGAAAAGGCCAAGTCAAAAACAATTCTACATAACTGCGTCATTGACAGCGGGATTTCTCTTACCATCTCATGCACATGTTCCGACTGCTTGTCCCGGGGTATTTTACTATACTCCTCTAGCAGCTTTTGCGTCTATACACGAAATTTACCAGCGTTAGCCATGTAATAATCGTGGCATGAACTATATTTTCACTTACTTCTGGGACCAGATATTTGTCAATGTTAGGAGAATACCATGGATAATCGGTTTTTGCCTTGTCAGACTTGGCGTAGCTCGGCTCAGAGAAGGCGGATGTTTTCTCAGACGACATTTCGTAATGACTCTGTGTGCCTGACCGTGTGTGTGAAGCTTTGCGTGAAAGATGAGTCAACAGATAGTAAGAGATGAAAATGAAAATGGCGGCTGAGGAATACAAAGAGGAAGAACTTTAGAATGCGGAAGGACGCAGTTTATAAACAAAGAGCCCAGATAACTATGCGGGCCTGGCGAGCTTTCTAATTGGCTTTGGAACTACGTAGCAAAAACTTTTTTGCTTTTTAAATAGAGCAATTTGTGCTAGCTAGCCAGTCAATAGCGCTAGGGCTGGAGGCGATCTACTTGGGTATGACAAGGTTATCTATTCGCTCCATGTTGAGATTATAGCGATACGATATACGTTGAGCTCATTTTTCTTATTTTACTCCAGTAATAACACTACCACACCGCACTACCGTCGTTACCGACCTACAGCCCCAAAATGGTCTTGAGAGTCTTGACTAATCTCAAAGTCCCGTCCTATGCGTATCAGATTGTTTTCAACTTGATTATCGAACTGGGCCAAACTCTCTGCATGAGCCATAGTATGGTGGCTCATGGTTGTACTGAAATATCCGCTCCCTCCCCCGTTTTTGGACAACTGATAGCTCTCCTGGGACTCTGGTACTAATTCCTCCTCTGAGACGCGGCGCATCCGCGATGGAGGTGACGAGGGTAATGAGTTCAACGACAATTTTGAGCGTGCGCTATTGACGATACTCTCTGGCATCCGTGCCTTCATTAAAGGTCGTAGAGTTGGCAAGCACGCTGCAATAACCCCAATGCTTGCCTCAATATACCCCCACACCATGACATTGCTTTCTTCGCCTAATGAATTCGGTACGTTATCAGCTCACGGGTACTTTACAAATACGTATCAAGAAGAGGGACTGAGGGCTACCTCTTAAATCACGGGCCCCTGTGGTGGTTTCTAAAGAGTCAAAGACATATTAGCTTGGGCTGGTATATACTAATGTAGAAATCGGTCCTCACCATAGAGATCTTGGGCGATAAATACTATTCGAGCAGTAGCTGCAGCCGTAGACCTAAAACCACACTAGTTAGAATAACTTCATTTCCAAGGAGTACGATTTCACATTCGTACATATATCCCAGCATGAAAACAATAAGAAGACCCAATTTTTGCCGCGTCGTCATATGAAGACGCCAGATAATCGGCATCGGAATCGTCAGCACAACGATATCCGTAGCCACATCGGATGTAGCATGACCAAGCTGAATGTACTTGTAAGAGGAGCAGTAAGTAGCTACATCACGGGGACTGCTCCACAATCGACTTGGTATGGTACCACACTGGAACAGAGTAGCAAAGAAGAATGCAACCGTCCAGGCCGACACGATAACCAACGCCAAAAGTGATACTTTTGAGAAAAGGGGCCCGATGAAGATCCGTCTGAAGAGGAACAGAACACTCAGTTTTAGAGCGCCGTACGCCACGATTGATATCATCTGAGAGATATAAGCAAGCTACACAGTAAGTGTCAGCACGGAGACCCTCGAATTCTAGCACATCGATTAGGATCAGGATTGATGACCTCTGCAATCTGGTTCTCATGCGGCGTCACTATGATTGCCCCTGTTACGGGGTTTTGCATTGTGTGTGTTCCAATGGTGCCTTGAGAGGTGACTATAGAAGGTGTCAGGAAAATTTTTCATGCATTGTTGATGAGCCTTCTTTTACCATAGATGATAATAATGGCAAGTGCCCAAACGAGCAACTATATATAGCCGAATGATCAGTTGGCGGTCTTGCGAGTAATCCGCGACAACACAAAATAGTGTCTGACACTTACCAAGGACACGGAAATAGAGATATCATCAACTCCAATAGGCGCCCTCTTCATGCGACGAACGGATAATCGACCGCTAACAGCTAACGTCGAGAATACTAGCAAGATGGCAGCGACAGCATAACAGCCAGCCTGATCCGGAGAAGAAGTAGGCATTTTCTTACCTATTTCAGGGCCTAATAGATAAATAGATAGTCTTGCAAAAATGTTCCTTAACCTATAGCCAAGTGGATTCATATATTCACCGGGCAAATTGATTTTCTTTGTTCTCATTGCCGAAACATTGATATGATTTTGGCCTACAACGCTCGCATGCAAGGGATGACGATCCTGCACAGGTCTTTGTTCTTGAACAGAGGATTCGACTCCTTAGGTTGCACAAACGGTCACTAGACCACGTACAGGACGCCTGTCGTCTTTCAGGCCACCAGCTTCGAGCTACCCACCTTCGCAATAACTTACTACAAGGGCGAATCGAAATCGTCGAAATGCGCTGTCCGCTCGTGTTTGTGGAACAATGTCCGCAATAACAGCCCCCTTCAAGAGGCGATCTACCCGTCACACTGCAGTAGTTGCGACAACATATCACCGCATCATTTTCGGCTGCATAATCTTCAACATGTACATTCATGGCTATGCAGTCCGTATTCAGCTTGAATTACTATGTGGCTGAGGGTTCAGTTTTCTCAATGCCAACTAACTTTGGGGCAACTTATCTACTGCCTCGTACGAAGGCACCAAAGACTGAGATTATACAAAATGGCCTCGTTGTCTCTGCTTTCCTATGAGCAAAAAGATGACCGACTTGCTCTAGTGCAAAACCGGTTACTTTCAATTAAAATTCTTGCTGTGCAACTATGGAAAGAGATAGGCTACTACAGTCTGGAGGGGAAGACGAATCGGAACATCGACCTACCTTGCACGAGGCTCGGCACCATTTCAACCTAAGAGAACGGACTTGTTTAAAAGTGAGGTCCATACTACTGGTACTGCTTGTAATGTCTTGTGCTGTGAATATTATTCAAAGTGCATACATCATTGCGTGGCATATGTCATCCATGCATGATTGGTCTACATGTGGTGAGTGCATGCAACGCATTCCTGACTTGCTAAAGATTCCTCCTGGTGAGCACTAAAGAGTTTTCTAGAACAATTATATCCGGTGATAGACGTCCCTGTTGCGCCCCCGAGTGGATTCGGCTCGTCTGCAAACCAGACTCAAAGAGATGCATTATGGTGGAGCCTCGATACCAGCCGAGGCTTTGTGGCTTTGGACAAGAACCAGCTGAATCTCAAGTCATCAGAGGCTTTTCCATGGGACGAAACCAGGTCTGTCTATCTTGTTAACGCCTTCCATGGTCTGTATTGCCTGGTACGTTAAGTGGCGCCTTCTCGGACAACATCTTTAGTTAACATGACTTATTCTTTCAGCGAGTGATTTACATTTACCTACGCCAACTTCAAAATCAAGAAGATCTACGATATGATTTCAACCATGTCCTCCACTGTCTGGACTCTTTGCGCGCCGATGTTTTGTGTGCTGCTGATGATACGCCTATTGCGGTTGGAAATCAGCCCAATGATGATCCACAGCTGCAGGTACAAACACGAAAATGTAGAGATTGGGGTCATCTAGAAGAGTTTGTGACTATGAACTCCGCGTGTTTCCAAGGTCATGAGCCGGACGAACCAGGTTACCAGACGATTGAAGAGTGGCAGCACTGCCCGAAGGACTCACCTTATTGGGCTACTGTGCAGCAGTACCTTTCAGAATCGGGATCTTCGTAGCCTGTATAAGTATTTAGATCTATTTTAGATCAGCCAGGTTTATATGTTGTGTCAAATGCTTGAATTCGGTAAATACATGTCCAATGCAATACAGTCACTTCGGTGACTTCGCATATAGACACCACGCGCGCAACATTGTCGATCAATCCGCATTCTCTCCGGCATTTTCCGCCCCATATGCATAAAAAAAAACGAAATCTCCTGGCATTCCAGTACAATCACCATCAATCGATTAGGCGTCCAAAGTTAGATACAGCTGGTTCTATGAACAACAATACTGGTACGTGCAATTTTTTTCGTAGATCTCAGCTTGCGAACTCGGCCATGATTGATCATTTACTCTTACTACGTCTAAGAACCAAACCAAACCAATCCATACAAAGTGATACAGTACGTGATTATACAGGTACCGTGCGGTGTACCTGAGCAGTGTACCATGCCAATTCAAGCCGAACAAGAATCTAATCACACCTAACCTATTGACTATTTAGGACACTCACTGGCCTCTCATGTTTTGTAATTTACCTAGCGACGAGATTATATAGGGTTTGATTATTCCACGACTTCCCTGATAGCAAAGTCAAGAGTCCTACGACAATCCATTTCACATATTGTCCCTCCTAAACTGCCCAACCCCTCAAAAGAGCTCAAACGTTACAAGTTCTCAAGAACTTCAGAATTCAGCACTTTACACCAGTCTTATTCTGATATAACACCATCCAGCCCAAGCAACCATGCGCTTCCTACATGCTTTGCTCGCGGTTATTACAGTGACCAACGCTTTCACAATTCCTCGTGGTAGAAAGCCCAAACCTTTTATCAATATAGATTTCTGAAAATGCGAGTTAATGAACTAATATAACTTGGTGGTGTAGATTCAGTGACGGCAAAACCTGGAGCGACTGTTCCTTATATAGGGGAGGCGTTCGAGAATGGATATCCGGAAGAGGACACCGAGAATGGATCGGGTGCATACTATTAAAGACAGTTGATGGTTTGTTTACGTTCTTGATATGATTGACTATGGATGGTGCGAAGAGTTTAGAACTGCATGTTTTTAGGCTAGACGGCTCAGGATATGGTGCAACTTATAAGCAAGAATGAGAGATTGTGATACTGATATAACTGAACTAAACGAAACATTGCAGTAATTATCCTTAGTTAAGAACCAAGGGGCTCCGAAGTATATAGATCTATAACAGAAATCACCATAATAGAGAACAACCGAGAAATCATACCTCATAATCTACCTCAAACACCTTCTCAACTTCTGCCCGATACGTTGATCCCTCCGGACACCAGACAAAGCGCTGTATTTGAGGAAACTCCTGCGGAGTTTGTGTTTCATTAATGTATCGATAGCAAGCTGGATACTGCCTTGCCCAAGCAGACAATTCATCCCAACTACGACACTGGCGGTATTGGCCCTGACCTGTCTCCGGAATAGAGTCATTAGTGGTGACTCGCGGAGTATCATCTGCGTTGCAGATAACGTCTTGACGGAGTGAGTCCAGGCAGTGGATTATGTGCCGAAAATTGCGGGTTTGGGGTAAGTTATTTTTGTACTCCATCAGGGCGATGTATATAGCTCGCTTGAAATAGATTTATGATCAGCTCACCTAAATTTCAGAACGAAGGTTGTCTACTTGGAGAGGTAACATACAACGCAGTGTAGATTATGGTAGCCATGAAGGAGATAGACGCCTTTGCCGTGATCCCACGGAAATCTTTGCGCCAAAGGCAGACCCTTCTCAACAGCGATTTCGTCCGGGAGTGCGATCATACCCTCATCGATGTTGATGGACCGCCACAGCTCGTCACGAAATGTATCATTGCGATCAGTGTACGGATCATGTCCATGAAGCGCTACTGTCACTGTTTGCTGCAAGCTGGCTATTAAAAATATAAGGCATTAGTCAAAGAGAAAGTTGTTGCGTCTGTCAACTTTTTTTTTTCTCATACCAAATAAAGTTGGAATATCAAGAGACGTTTTGCCAGAACCATTACTTGTTGTTGATAGTCTCTTGGATACGGACTAAGTAGTCAAGTTTGAGGCTAGCAAGATGACAACGAAAAACGAGGCATTTAGGAACATCTGTCTTACTCCGACAGTAGATCCAGTATCTGTCACATCTTGCTCCTCCGCCAGTCCCTGCTGCTCATCTTTGGGCAGTCGGTTGTATGCAATGGACGAAAACATTTTGCAACTGGACATATATCGAAATGTTGCTCATGGAGTTGAAAAATGCCACGCTGTTGAGTAAAGAGTAAATATGTGTTCAAGCTATGGATAGAAAAATTGATGGTGTAGGACGAGTATGCATTTTAGCTGTTTCAAATCTGCCTTCTTCTGATTCAAAAACACACTATAAGGCCGACTCGAATGCCTATTTCAATGAATACAACGTGCCTTCCGAGGATGTATATCTGATTTCTTTTCTTTTTTCGTACCCACCTGCATTTAGCTCAACTAAACCCAACGATCAACAAACTAATACGAAAATAATGCAGTACTTGCTTGCGTTGAACTGCAGACGGAAAGTCTGCATCTATTGAACACTTTGCTTTTTGCTTCGTCATACGTTAGCCTGTCATCTCCATCCGCAAGTCGCTCGCCCCCATGCACTGGGAGGGCCTGATGTGATCTTCATAATGGGGCCAAGCCAATATATGCCATGCACCTAATACAATCGACTACGTTCTAGCGTAGGTTTGTCTCCAGTCTTGAGACTCAGAAACTGTCATAAAGTTCCCAATCAGGATCAAGTGACGTAGGCACAGAATCCAGCGCTTCCCAGCAGCGCTTTATTGCAGAATATTGCGATGGCACAATAAAGATGGAGCAGTCGTCTGTCCTGATTACGAACGTCGGAACTCTAAATAGTATTGATGATATTTGGTTCAAAGAGGTTTAGTAGGGCAAGAGCAATCTGCTGGGTAGGTGTCTAGCAATTATATTAGTAGGTGGTATAACAAGATCGATATCTTACATGCCACTTGATCGGGTATTCCATCTTCAATAATGAATGAGGGAGGGCGTAAGCAACTTCCACTCGAAAGCCACCTCTTCATACAAAAGGAGGTTGTCATCATCATCATCATCATCATCATAACCCTAAGGATACCCTATGCGGGATAACAAGATACGGATACTCTGTCTAATGTCGTTCGATAAAGCTTACATGTCGCTGTCTAAGCCAAACACCGAGTACAGCGAACTGTCTGAGAGACGAGACAATATCTGGTTTCACGCCCTTGCCATTGGCCTACTTCAGGCTACCTTGAAAACTCGTGTTTTCCGCCTCATACTTTGATTGAAATCTACTCACCGGATGACTAGACGTCGAGTATATTACTTCATGGTGTGATTCCAAAGAAATACCAGATGGTTCGTTGCTCGATCGCCTAGCGTCGACTGCCTATGAGAAATTGCGCGCAAGGAACAGAACCTTCTGTCAAGAATAACCCGCTGCATCAAGGAAAAAAGAGTTTCATGAATGCTTTGATGACCTTTCATACTCTGGAGTGCTATTTGCTCTACTGAAGTTCGAATGTAAGATAATGAAGGGCCTTCGTGATGCTTAATCACGACTGGAGATGAAACGCTAAGTCGCCATTCCCGCCAGCACACCGAAGATCCTGGATTCATCGCAGTGTTTGATAAAACCTCGAGCCTTTTCGACCGATCTGGGGGAGACTGGACGCTATATGTTGGAACAACCAACTAGACCAAAAAGCAGCGCGCATACTAGATGATCTAGTATGGTAAGATATAGCGAGCAACGAATGCCACGTGGTGTGTAGAGCAGTGAGGAGGACGATGTATCAAGACTATATCGCCCTAAATCGCATCGCCAGCTACATATCTGGTACTTCTTTCTACCCACAGAAACGCGGCTCGACATTCGGTGAGCAAACTATTCTCGATGCCGCAAACGACAGCTGTGCAAAGGTTCCAAGTACCTGGTCAGCAGCACTGATCATCTTCAACAGAGAACTTCTCGACGTTCATCGGAATGTGATCCTAAGCTAGCGGATTGGCCAAGCTGTCGCTTCTTGGATATTTCATAGCCAGAATTTAATCATGCTTCGGTAAAAAGACAGGTAGAGTTCGAAATTAGATTTCTTTGAACATCTTGTGTATCCCGCAGAATAGAGCGAAGAAACCGTCTCCAGGCTGAAGGTGGCATGGTACTGAGATTATCTACAATGTGAGAGGGATATAATAATCCTCCCAACGATCCGACTCAGCATCTCTGAAGGTATTGATAGTACCTTCTACCCCTTCCGGCCCAACAGACCAGACGCCTTCTTCAACCAGCTTGCGCCAGCAATCCAACAAACGCTCCAGCCGCTGAGGGCGGTAGTGGTCACCACCAAAAGGCTTGAATCCATGCTGAAAGAGGTCTGCAACGCTTTCCCTATCAACAAGCCCCCCATCGCTTCTTCGTGCACCTACGCTCCTGCCCCGACCAGCATTGAAGGTGAACGGGAGCAACAGCTGAAATCCCTCCTCGGCCGTGTCAAGACCGTTTCTCTCCACTGCCGCAGTATACAGTCCTGCAGAGACGCGAGACGGTGTGTGCGTGTCGGTGGACCTTGAATAGAAGTCCGCCAATAAAAATGGACTTGTTGTTCTCGTGAGCTAGACAGGACGCTGGTCTCCGCTGTCGGCGGGGAAAAGGCACACTGGCGGTACGGTGTACTGGGAAAGGGGCAATACGGTGAACGGCTGTGCTGCCACAAACCCAGACGAGTCAGCTGGGGGCAAAAGAAGGCCCGGAGCGATGTAGTGGAACCAAGGCCGTCTCGCGTGCGTCAGAAACGAACACGCAAAGGAAGGATCGGGCACCGAAGCGGCGTCCAGGACGGTTGACGCGACCAGCGGCTCTGGATTGTCCGCATCAGTCCCGGAAATGGGGCTGATCAGTGATGGTGGGTTTGACAGCTGCGAGATGCGCGCCTCGATGGCCTGACACAGCCGATCCCACGCGTCGACACAAGTAGTAACCTGGGCTTCGCTATAGGGTCGCCACTCCCAGGGCCCGAGCTTCTCGAAGTCGAATAGAGCTGGCTCTTGATGAGGCGAAGCCACAACTTTTCCGATATGAATAAGGTCGATCCAGTGAGAGAGCAGTGTCTCTAGTGGGTTCCAAACGTCTGGATGATCCTCAACTGGAAACCCGTAGCCCCAGTCATCAAGATGCATGAAGATCGCGACGCGATGAAAGCTTTGGTGGTAGATAACACCCCCACCACTGCCCTCGGCCGATAAGGCCGCAGGGAACAAGCGCACCAGGCTGTCAACCGGCTGGTCTTGAAGATCAGCTACAAATTCCTCAATAAGTGTGTTTGGCGTAGAGAGACCATATGCAAAAATAGAGAGTGGCAACTCGTCAAAACCATCACTAGGAGGTATCATAGCGGTGTCAAGGAAAGCCACAAGCGACGGATCAAGCCTTGGACGAAGAGCCTATCATTAGTTTGTGTTGAACCAAAGGATAGTTTAGGGTTACAGCTAATAAAGTTCTTAGGAACTAGAATATATATAATTAGCTCTATTTATAGTTTAGGGGAAATTAATATTATAATTTATTTTTATTTAAAGCTCTTTTATAGTTATTATTTTCTAGATTTTTTTATATTAATATATTTTTTCTCTCTTTATAAATATCTCACTCTTATAATCTAACTAGATTTTCTATATTAGTAAAAGAATCTAACTTTTTATTCTATCTTTATATTTTTACTTAATAGTAAGTAATTCTTTATATTAAGTATAATTTATATTATACTTATTATAATCTTCTCTAATATCTTTTTTAGAAATATTATATTAGATAACTCTAGTAATAAAATATTAAATAATATCTTTAATATTATAGTATTACTAATAGCTTAAATAAAGTAATTTAGTTCTTTAATAGTATTATTAAAATTTATAATCTTTTTACTAATTTTAGCTTTCTTTATTATATAAAATATTATTACTATTATTTTTATAATATTAGTCACATATAATAATATTATAATTAGAAATATAGATAAAAAAAGTCTTAAAGATTAATATTTTAATATTATATCTATCTTTAGACCTTATTTTAAGAAAAAGAATAGATCTAATATTTTATTATTATTCTAATTTACTTAATTATATTATTTACTATCTCTTTATATCTTTATCTACTATATATATATCTACATGCTAATGTATCTAAATATTAAACTTTATTCTTTTTTATTATTATTAATTATTTATTATTCTTAAAAATACTTTTAAATAAATATTATATAATCTAAAATTAAGATTTCTTTTTATATATTATCTAGAATAGCTAGTATATCTTTAAAATTATATCCTAATTATAAATTATAAATATTTATATTTATTTTACTAAAATAGACCCTAATATTATTAAAGATCTATATTAATTCTTAAAACTAAAAAAACACTATTATCACTTATCTATCATTATATAAACTAACTCTAAAGATAGACTAAGCAGTTTCTTTATTATAATTATATACTATAGCTAAGCCACTAAAATATCTAGTTTATTAATATATTTTCTTATAAAAAAATTTTATAAAATTTAATCTAGCTACTATAAAATACTTAAAGCTAAATATAATATATCTAAATCTAATAGAAGTTTATTTATTATTAAAGCTAAATTATAGATAATTATATATTACTTACTTTATTATTCCAACCTACTAAAAGCTAATTAATTATCTAAGATAATATAATAAGTATAGCCTAAGAGCTTAATAATTCTAATAAATTAAAGCTAGATTATATAAAGGTCTTTAAATATAAATAATAATTAGAGAAATAGATTTTTTATTTTTATCTAATAATTATTTAATAATTAATTTTATCTTAGACCTTTAATTTTATTTTTATATTTTTTACTATACTTTTCTTCTAAAGCTTTATCTAGAAATAATAAATAATAATTAATAATTATACCTCTTTTCTATTATAGCTAATCTATAATAATTAGATCTAGATCTTTACTCTTTTTATCTTTAAATATTAGCATTACCTAGAGATTAATCTAATCACTATTATTATTAGATATTAGGATTATTAACTGCTAAATAATATTTCTAGATCTATAATTAAATTATTAAAGAATTATCTCTATAAGTTTTAAATTAAGATAACTGAGATGCTTTTTATATAAGTATAATAAGATTAGAAAGACTAGATTATTATCTTCTAGAATATAAGTCTATTCTTATTAAAACTGTCTTAATTTATATAGAAAGAAATCTTTTAAATAATAGTAATCTTTAAATAGAAATTTTATTTTTTAAATTTATTCTGATTTAAGGAGAAGATCTTTTAATTTTATTTAAATAGGCTGATAAATAACTAGGATATTATAAAGATAGAAGCCTCTTTTCTTATTAATATTTAGAATTATATCTATATCTATTCTTATTAGAAATAATTTTTTTTATTTTTTCTCTTCTAGATCTAGAATATAGATTAGATCTAATAGATTTTATATAATATAAAAGAATAGTATAAAGCTATAATTTAATATTTTTTAAAAATATTAATAGTACTATTTTTTATTAGATCTAGCCAGTAAGTATAATAAATTAAATTTCTAGAAATCTGCTAGTAGAATATTCTATTTTATATATAAAATCTTTTCCTTTATAATAGCTAGATATTATTTATCCTAGATTACTATAAGATCTATTATTATAATAATATTTTTTACTAGTCTACTCAGTTCTTTCTTCTAGAGATAATCTAGTTAATAACCCAGTACTTAGTCTTAATTATATTTTTTTAATAGTAACTACACTATAAAATTTATTAGAATTATTTTTATATACTTATTTTACTTTATAATTATCTATAGATATCCAGTATTGCTTTATAATTAAAAGACTATTTTATTAAAATAATAATTCAGACTAAATAATAAATTTTTAGTAAATAGATCTATATTTATATATAGTGCTAGATTATAATTAAGATTATAATTAAAAAGTTTAAGACTTTTATATTATAATTTATCAAGAGTTCCTTTAATAATAAGAATAATAACTAGACTAAGGACTATAATAATAATATAACTACTATTTTTTACTATTAAATTATATATATGCCATATATTAGTAATTAAATATATAAAAGCATTATTAATTTTTAAATTAGTCTTACTGATGCTAATCTCTAAAAATTCTAGCAAGTTAGAAAAGCTTAATATTAATTAATCTAATAGTCCTTTTTATATATTATCCCTAATTTTTCTAAGAGATTATAATCTAGCCTATTACTTATCTTGTTTTTCCACAAACTAGGACCTATTATAAAATAGAAATAAGATAAGAGCTTTACTAAATAAATTTAAAGCTAGATAGTAGAGTTAATCCTTATCTAATAATTCTATTATTATTAAGAGCCTTAATCTATATAAAGCTAGTAGATAATAAAATAAGTATAGTCTATCCTAAAATAGATATATATATAAGAGTATAATATTAATCTATCTATTAATATTAAACATTTAAATATATTTTTAAGAATTTAAATAAAATAATTATAATACTTTAGATAAATAAAAATAAAAATCTATTCTATCTTCTATCCTGTTAATTATTAGATATATAAATTATAATAATAATTTTTTCACTAGTCATTCTTAAATAGAATATACTTTATTAATATTAAAATATTAGGATTAAGGCTATTCTATAAGATTAAAACTATAAATTAATATATCTAAAATCCAGTTCTCTTATTCTAGTAAGTATTAAGTAAACTATATATCTAAATTTTTATATCTTTCTTCTTTAACTATAGCTTATCTAATAGCTTAATCAAGTCATTTTTAATAAATATTATCTTATCTTAACTATTATAATATACTAGAAATAGATAGCCCTAGTTCTAATCCTATAAAAGATTTAATATCTTATAGTTTTTCTAATAAGTATACTACTACTAATAATAAAGAAAAAATTCTAATATATTATATTTCTCTTCTATCTGTCAGAGAATCAGAACGTCACAGCCAATGGATCAGGTTAGTCACTACGGGACTAATGCACACCGGAATAAAGGATTACCCATGAAGCCTTAGGGTTAGGGCAACAGAGCCAGCAGAGCTATTACTATATTAACTATATTAGTCAGAATAGAATGAATAGAGTTATTATTATATTAGTTATAATAGAAGAAAGCTATATAAGAATACTTATTTATTATATATTTAATTTTCTTCTATCATCTTGAATTAACTAAGATAACTTAAATATATAATTTTTTATTAATTAAGATATTCTATTTTACTTTAAGATTTTATTTGTTTTATTATAACTTTTATATATTAAAAGCCTATTAACTTCGCCTATTAATAGCTATCCTAATTATACTTAATAATAATTTAATTAAAGTTTCTAATAATTTAAGACCCCTAATATAAAAGATAAAGTCTTTATTTAAATATTTAAAATAATAAATAATAATAATCCATCTGCTTTAAGATAATAATTATAATAAGTAATTTAAGCTACAGCAAAATAGTAATAATATATAATAATAATATACTATAATAAAGATAATAAAATATTAGTTTATTATACTATTTTTAAAAAATAGTTTAATTAGATAGTTGAATATATATAGTAACTTAAAAATAAGTTAAGGGTTAAGGATAATTAAGTAAATTAGCTTAAGAGATATACTAAATAACTTAAATAAAAAGAAGTTAAATAAAAAGATTATATTAAATAATTAAAAGTATAAATAATATTAAGTTTACTACTAGTTACTAATAAAGTTAAACTATTAAAATCAATAAAATTTAATAGAATATATTTTAAACTTAAGTTATTTCTGATAAATATAAGTATATATATAAAAGCTAATAAGATTAAATAAGATTATAATAAAATAATTTTTATTATAATTTGTCTTATTAATAATGTAGCTAATTAGATATAGTTAATAATAGATAACTTTTATAATTTAGTATAAAAAGACTGGAATGTAATTACTATTAAGATATTTATAAGTTATATTAGCTTTAAGGAACAACTTATGTAGTTATTTAAAAATATTAATAAAATGTGTATTATTGAATAAAAATTAAGATATTTATAATAAATTAGATTAGCTTAGAAACTAGTAATAGAATTTTAAAAGATAATAGTACTATTAAAATATAATAATAGAGTATAGATTATTATATTTAAAAATATATTAAAAGAAGAAGTCTAAATGGAATTAATTAAAATGAATTAATTAATAGATATTGATGACTTTATTAAGATGGCTGTTATAATTAATAATAAGCTATTTGAGATTAAATAGAAGAAATAAGAGTTTTAGTAATGGAAAAAATATAGAGGATTTCTATAGTTTAGAATGAATTAAGTAACATAATAAAATCC